CGATGCTTTGATCTGCCAATTAGGCACCTCCCGAGCTGCTAACTGGAAGCAGCTGCTTCCACCTCCCCGAAAAGCTGCCCGATGGTGTCTCTGTGGGGGGATCTGAGGCCCAGGGAGAATGGACCTCATCCTCTATTCCTTGGGGGACACTGGCTTCTGTTGATGGAGTGACAAGCACCCCAGGGGTCCCCGATTCTCTGCCTGTCTCCAGAGACACCGGGATCCCCCAGCTGGTCTTCACAGGCTGGCCGGGGAGACCTTTGTACCTCAGGCCAGCATCCAGCACCCGGCAATGCCCGGGGGGCAGAGTGCTTTCGGCCTGTCTCTTCAGGTCCCCTAACCAACAGGCGTCCCCAGCAGCCACCGCCCACTGGGATGCCCTGCTCAAGGGCCACAGTCACGGCCACAGTCAGCAGGTCACCAGGAGACGCGGACTCCGCCCCGGTCCCACGGTCCGCAGGCCAACACCGGTACCTGGTGGCGGCCTCGCAAGAGTCCAGCTCCTGCCCAGGGCCCAGGAGCCCACTCCCCGCCCCGCCCACTCCCTAAAGCCAAACTCCTGCTGGCAGCTGCCCTCCTGGGTGCCTCGCACTTGGGGACAAAGGACATCATCACAGGGCCATCATCCCCTCTATCTATCAGGAAGTGGAGCCTGCAGGACCCAGGACCAGCCAAGTCCCCCGCGGTGCTCCCTCCCCGCCTCCCTCCCTCCTCCCCAGCGCCCTCCTTCCCCTCCAGCTCCTCCTCCCCATCCCTCCCTCTTCTCCCTGTCCTCTCCTCCCCTCCCCCTCCCTCTCCCATTCTAGGGCTCCTGCTCCCTAAGCCTCTCTGCTCTCCGAAGCTGCCTGATCTCCCTGTCACTGGGCCTTTGCTTGACCTGCTCCTCTGCCTGCCGTTCTTGCCCCAGACCACCTCCCTGGCTCAGCCAAGAGCGATTCCCCTTCTGCTCGCAGGCCCAAGGGAGCCCCCCTCAGCCTCCCCAGGGAGGGGTGCTCTCTGCCACCTCCCTGGAGCACCCCTTCCTCATGGTCAGGCCAGGACAGCTTTCGGGGTGCCTGGGTCCACCCTGAGAATGCAGGCTGCTTGGAGCAGGGAGGCCCCCCACCGGGTAACAGTGCCCTGGTGCCTGCAAGGCCTGACCTTAGCAGCGCTCAGAAACCGCTTGCTTAGTGAATGGATAGAGGGGTGAACAAGTGACTGAATGCTGGTTCCCCACACCTTCCCTGCACACGGACTCAGGCCAGAAGCACTCACCCCCAGCGATCACCTTCCCAGCTCTCCAAGTGTCTGCCAGTGCCTGGCGGTGGCTCGTGGCCTGGTCCCATCCTGTTCCTTGAGTCCTCTTAGACAGCTTTTACCGAGCAGCTCCTCGGGGCTGATGCCTGAGACACCTCAGGAGACAAAAGGGAGAAAACCCTCTGCACTCCTGAGGTCTACCGTCACCCGGAGAGACAGACAAAACAATAAATACCCAGAGTGCTAGACAGTGGTGAGTGTTCAGCAAAACAGTTAAGCCAGGGGAAGGGGAAATAATCCAGGAAATAAGTTGCATGACTATCTGGGAAGAGCATTCTAGGGGGGCAGCAAGTGCAAAGGTCCTGAGGCACAAATATGGCATGTTTGGGGAATGGTGTGGCTACAGAGGTATGCAGGTCACGAGGAGATGGGAAGCCTGGAGGTGTGACCCATACGGAGAACTGATGCTGTTCCTGGCTCTACAGCCTTACTGATGTCTGTAGGAAGAATCTTTGTTCTAGCACAAATCCCAAGAGTCTGATTAGATCAACAAAGGTCATGCACCCACGCCTAGAGTTAAGTCTTACATATAAATAAATGTTCCCCAAAGTTTCATGTCTGCAGGGGAGGTGACGGATGATGGGTGTGTGATACTGGGTTCGTCCACTAGTGGGTTTACCGCTGGGCATGATGCTGGGAGGTAAAGCCTGGGCAGGGCAGGTGGGGCACGTGGGCGTGACCTCCCTCCTGTCTGCCAAGCCACTCTTTGCCACGCCACCCTTCCTTAGTACACTGAAACCTCTACAAGCAGGGAGCTAAAATAAACCTCTCCATTTCTAACTTGTGTGTGTTGGGTATTTTATCCCAGGAACAAGAAAAATAACTAAGATGCTGAGCAGAAGAGGGAAAGTTCCCCTGCTCCTCTGATCACACTGTAAGTGACAGGAGCAGCTCTTCCTCAGAAAACAGAGGCTGATGGGTGGGGATGGAGGGCTGTGGGGCTGGGAGGCATCAGCCTACCGGACCGAGGTCACTGGTGCCCCAGGCAGGGTCACTTCAGGGAGAGGAGCTGATGCGTGAGAAGGACCTGGCAGCTCACAGTTGCTTCTTGAAAAAACAATTATTCCTTTTGCTATCATTTATAAAAGGCCAGCACAAGAAAGAGGAACTAACTTCAGGGCATGGGCCCAAAGGATAAAACCAGTGTTCATTACATACAAATTCCAAGGGCCAGGGGTTTAGCTCAGTGGTGTAAGTGCCCGCCTTGCAAGCTCATGGTGGTGAGTTCAATCCCCATTACAAAGAAAAGATACAAATTCCAGGGAGTCAGGCTCTGTTTCAAACCAAGAATTTTCTAATAACTGAAGTTGCCTCACTGAGCCTCCTGTCCCTGAAGGGGAACAAGAAAGATCCCCGCCCTCCTGGCAGGTGTGGAGCTGGGGCCCCTGGGATCGGGGGGCTTCCAGGATTCACCCCTCTAACGGTGGTCCACATGCAGAACCGGGAAAGAAGGTCTTTTTCTCTCTAACCCAGAGCGCCAGAGGCATGCAAGCAAAGAGAATTAAGAGATTAAAACTCCCTGAGCCTCTGACAATCTGGTCCCAAGGGCCAGGGGGACAGGACAAGCCACATCCCACATCAGACCCTACAAAACAGATCACTGAGAGCTCAGAGCTGGGCCAGGCATCTTCGGATACCCTGGCCCCTGGGAAGTAAGTGGAGGTCACAGAGAAGGAGGCTCCAGGGAGACCCCAGCCCTCTGTCCGCCGTGTCTGTGAAGGTGAATCCTGGGTGTCATTTGACCGGATTGGCAGGCACCTAGCAAGCAGGTACCGCAGGCCTCTGTCTGTGCCAGGAGGTGCTCCCCCAGATGATGGGGTGTGGAGCAGCACTGGGCGGGCGAAGCCAACCCGGGGCCTGCGTGGCGGCTCTCGTGCATACACACTGGTCTGTGTGAGCAGCTGTGTGGACGTCGGACCCCAGATTCTTCGGCCTTGGACCTGAGACCTGCGCCGTGGCCCACCAGGGACCAAGCAGAGACTGCATCTTTCATTCTTAGCTTCTTAGACTGAGCGGCTACTGGCTTTCCATGCTGTGTGCACCCCCACCAACCCCCTCAAGAGCTACACGTGTCCTGTCCGCTCTGTTCCTCTGGAGACCCCCGACTGACACGCACTTCCCAGTTCCCGGCCCTCAACTCCAGACCAGTGGAGGCTGGACATGGAGCGGGGATCCCAGGACGGCATCTCAGCTGACCACCTATGCCCACCCAGAGAGGACAAAGCCCAGATCCGCGGACCACGACCCACCTCCAGCCCCGCTGCTCCCACTCGGTCCCCTTGCATCCGGCCACCCTCCGCCACCTGCTCCTCCCGGCCCGCCTGGGGTTCTTCCTCATCCCCCCTCTGCCCCTGCTCGCCCACCTCTGATTCCAACGCTTCTCTGTCCTCCAAGGCTCTTCCCAAATGCCGGCGTCCCCTGAAGTCTTCCCTGGCCCCTGCGCTCACCGGCCACCTCCCTAAAGTCTGAATTTCCGTCCATCACACATTCCTTGCCCAGGGAAACTTGAGTTTCCCCACCATATGCTGGATCCCCCAAAACAGTCTTCCTTCAGGCAGGATCATCCGGTGTCAGCCACCCAGGCTGGCTGCTGGGGACAGGCTCGGACAAGACCCGTGACAATGCGACCCTAGACTAGGACACTGGCTTCTGAGAGCCTGTAAGGCAGGAACCACAGTGGCACCCAGGAGACAGTGCTCTGTGGACCCCACAGTGAGATCTTGGTGGGGACCGGCCCAGATGATGGCACGATCGTCAGTGTAGATGAAGGTGGCCCTGGGGCCACGGCTACGGGTTCCACCAGCCACAGAGCAAAAGACGCTCTGTACTGACCTTGGACAGAATTTTTCCTCGTTGTTATTTTCTTTTCTGTAATATTGCAACTATTTTTAAAACGCTGACCTTGTAATAAGCAATCTAGAGATGATCTGAACTTCAGAGTACATGGTGGCACACTCTTGCAGGCTCAGCCCTCAGGAGGCTGAGGCAGGTGGATGGCTACAAGTTTGAGGCCAGCCTGACCTGCATAACGAGACTCTGGGCAAAACATTTAACAATTAAAAAGCGTGTGGGAGGATGTGCGTAGGTTATTTGCAAATACGATGCCGCTTTATGTGAGAGTTGTGAGCATCCTCAGTTTGGGGTACCCATCCAGGAAGTGGGAGGTCCTGGAACGGGTCCTTGGGGAACAGGGGGATGACTGGTTTTGCTTGGTATTTCTGAGTACCTCTCAGAACCCAAGGCTGTAACTGGTACACAAAATTAACAAGGCGATGGCCTGAAGGGATGGGAGGTGGACGGGGAAGGGAGGGGGGTCCATGCCTGGCACACTGGCGGTGTGGGAAGGCTGATTCCCAGCAGAGGCATGTGCCACGGGCTAGGGCCTGATTAGTCTCTGGTGTTGCAGGGACGCGGGTTTGCAACCGCTGGCATTTGCTGAACACCCGCTGTAATTGTGTCTGTGAAGCACTTATTTTAGAGCTGGGATGCACGGGCTCGGGCACAGTAAATAACTGCCCCAAAGTCACAGAGCTTGGAAGGGGGGACGCCGGGGTGGAAACCAAAGTCTCTCTGCTGTCAGGGGACCCTGACAGCAAAAAAGGGGGGTCACTCATTTTACCTGAGCAAGGTTTATTACAGACTCTTAGGAAACGGCCTTCTATTCGGGAGATCACAGAAGCCTGGGACTGAGTTTTTCTGGGACAGGAAATGAGACACAAACGCGGGAGATGCTTGGGAGATGCGCATGCCCTGAGCTCACTGCAACGCAGCCCAGACCCTGGGTGTGAACCTGCGGTAGGGGGTGGCTGGAACAGCAGGTGCCCCTGGGCGGGCCAGGTGGGAGGGCTGTAGGCGCTCAATCTCACTGTGTTTGGAGACCAGCGGGTCACACTGTATTATTTCTTCTCAAAGCAGGTGGCAAGAGAAACAGTCAAAGAACAGAGTGTTGCAGAGGTGGCAGAGGGCCTCAGAGAATGCCAAATGGGAGCAGGACAAGGAGGCGACAGCCAGGGGTGACCACTCTGTACTGGTTCCTTTGCAGTGGGATGAGGGCGGCTGAGCCCACTTCCGGTACAAGCTACTCCTTTCTCATGGTGTAACCCTGGATCACGCTGTTGAAGTAGGCTACCGTGTTGCGCTCCGGGTAGAAGAGGATCATGTAGCACTTGGGGCCGAAGTATCCCAAGCTGATGGCCAGGAAGTTGAGCACGGTGACCAAGAGGTCCATGATGGTGACCAGCACCCCGTTGTAGACAGACATGAAGGTGCAGAGGGAGACGGAGGAGGTGAAGGAGAAGGTCATGCTGAGGGTGATGAACTTGGCCTCGTTGTAGTTGGTGGGCAGCTCCTTGCCCAGGTAGGCGAAGATGAAGCCCACCATGGAGAGGAACAAGTCCATGCTGGTGTTGAACAGCAGCCCGTTGCGATAGTTGGGGTGGCAGGAGAGGATCATGACGCTGGGGTCCTCGGGGTCAGGGTGGCCCATGGGGTTGATGGGGGTGGTCAGCATGTTGCTGGCTATGATGACCCCCTTGAGTGCCGTGATGACCACTACGAAGACGTAGGGGCCGTGGTAGCGGACCCAGAAGCTATAGGCGCGGGGGAGGTGGCTGGCCATCTTGAAGACGCACACGATCTGGAAAGAGCGCACAGTGATGCAGGAGATGCACACGGAGTAGCAGAGCGTGAAGAAGGCCTGGCGACAGATGCAGGTGGGGACCGTGGGCTGCCCCACGTACACGGGCATCATCCCGAATGCCAGCAGCAGAGGCACCAGCATGAGGATGCACATGGGGCCCCCGGCCGAGCGGACCATGGGCGTCTGAAAGTTCCTCCAGAATATGACCAGGATGGCCAAGGTGCTGAGGAAGCCCAGGACGGCCAGCATGGCCACCATGATGGTGGGCACCTCGTGCCACTGGAGAAAGGCCAGCTTCCGCCTGAAGCAGGAGGTGTCCCTCGGGTTGGACCACATGGACATCGGGCAGGACTTGCACTGGTATTCATCTGCAAAAGCCCAGAGAGATTTGGGTCAGGATCGGAGCCAGGTCTCCTGAACTCAGCCTACGGCGTGTAAATTCTCCAAAGTCCTCATCTCTAGTGGGAGAGACATTGGACCACTTCATCCAGAAGTCACTCAATTAACATTGTTCTGAGCTCCGTCCGCGTGACAGGGACCTGAGGTGGGGGCCACAGGGATTCAGCCCCAGCCTCCAGCACACAGCCACCTACAGGAGGCCAGCACAGAAAACCCTCCGCAAATTCAAACTCAGCCCCTGCTTCACCCAACACTTACTTACACACAAGTGCTTTGATTGGGGAGAGAAATCGCCCACTGAATGCACTCATCAGTCAATTTAAAAGGAAAAGTCGTTTTTGAAACTCAGTTCTGAACTGCGCTAAGTACTAATGTAAACGCCGAGGTGACGTTGCCCCCATTTTCCTGGAGTTTATGGTGAATCAGGGGAAACCAAGCAAGTCACAGCACTCAGGAGACCGAAGCAGGAGCACTGGGGGTTCAAGGCCAGCCTGGACTACAGAGCGAGGCCCTGACACACACAAAAGGCAAAACAAACTCAGTCATCCCACACCCATTCGCTGAGCAGCAGTGCTAGGCTCTGAGCCATCTGAGGCACCGGAAGCCTCCCTCCTTCCCTGCACCAGCCTGTCTGGAGGATTTTGCTCCCCACCAGATACTGAGGGGCTAGAGGAGGAATCAGATATGGCCCCTGGCCTTTGGGCATCACAGCATCTAGGAGAACCAGGGGGAAGGTGGGGCGGGGTGGGGCGGGGAGGGCAGGCAGGGGCACGGGCTGCGAGCTGCACCTGCGGTCTGATTGAGGAAGGTGCCCGGCTGGCAGTCGATGCACTCGAAGCAGCAGGGGTGGATGCCCACGCTCTTCTTGCTCTGTCCCTGCTGGCAGCTTTTGGAGCACATGGACCTGGGGACCTGGATGGAGGAGAGAAAGAGATGCTGAGCCTCCTTTTCCACACCCTGGAACCCCTCTGTTCTCCTCTATGAACAAGACGCTCAGTGAGGGAAGTTCGGCCCCTGGCCGGGAGGAGAGGGTTGCAGAAACTGCCATTAGAACTGGACCTCTTACCTGCCCAGACCTGATCACTCTCCCCCTGGCAAAAGCATGGAGGCTTCCTGAGATTGTCCCCAGGGGACAGGATGCAACCCCAGGGCTTGTCACAAAGAGGTCAACATGGCCCAAGGAAAACTCTAAGCAGCAGGGAGAGTGAGACCCTGGATGCATCCCTGCCTGAAGCCTCACAGGTGGAGTTTTCAGTTATATGAGCAACTGTTCGTGGCCATGATTTCCTGTCACTGGCAGCCAAGTCTGCTAATTAACACATCCTTTCTGGATTGCTGGGCAGGGGTTGCTCAGGTGAATGAGAGCACATGGGCAATGACCAGGCCTGCTGTTTTTACTGCTATGATTTGCAGAACCTAGCAGAGGGGAGGTTTCTGATCATCAAATGAGTGAACTACTCACAGACAAGAGGGTATGAGCAATAGGTAAAGGGGTAGAAAAAGATGCCAAGATCAGAAAGGCGGAGTGCCCCAGACACTGAGCAGGCAATCCTGAAGGATGCCTAGAGCATAGACCTAAAGGATGAGGGAGTGCATCCTGAAGATATCTGCTCTGGGCACAGGGAGCAGCACGTGCAAAGGTCCTGTGGTGACAGAGACCTAGCACAGAAAGGCCAATGTGGCTTCAAAAGGATGAACCAAGAGGGAGATTGGCAGATTACCTCAAGAAGTAGGGCGAAAACACTTCGACATTTACTCTGCACAAAATGAGAAGCTACTGGAGAATTCCGAAAGGAGTAGTGACTGGGTCTGACTTCATTTTTAGCAAGATTGTCCTGTTTTGTATGTTGAGTTTGTGGGGGCGGGGAAGAAGTAAGAAGCCAGGAAAGATGCTACCACAACAGTGCGGGTGAGGCGTGATCTGGTTCTGACTAATGAGGCAGGCTCACGTTCAGGAACTAAGTGTAACCTGAAAAAATAAAACTGTGAACATAACTGACATGTCAAGCGTTATAGACAAAAGAGTAAGCCCAATGTCGGAACCCGAGTGTCCTCCAGGGTTAGAGACCAAGGAGGAGAGGAGTAACCAGGACATCAGACACAGGAGTAGTCATTTTGAGTGTCAGGTAGTTTGCCCCAGCAACAAGAGAAAAGTAACCAAGACATAGAGAAACCAAGAAACAGTGGCCCAAATGCAGGTATGGTGGTGCATGCCTGTAATCCCAGCACTACGGAGGCTGAGGCAGGAGGGTTGCTGTGAGTTCAAAGCCATCCCGGGCTACATAGTGAGCTGAAGGCAAGCCTGAGCTATATATATAGTGAGACTCTATCTCTGGGAGGTTGGGGGGAGATGGAGCCCAGCTGTGCCAAATGCTGTTCACGGGCTGGCCTTTGGATTGCCAATACGTAGACACAGATGTTCTTGACAAAGCCAGTTTCAAAAGAGTGGTGTGATTGAATGATTCTTTGGAGTGACATCAGGAGACACTGGGGTGCAGGGGATGTAGCTTCCATCCTGACTTGTGGAGAGCTGGGAAATCATCCCATCACCCTCATCCTCACAGCAAGGAAAGAGCTGAACAAACCATATAGCAACAACCACACTCCATCAGAAAATCGGGGTCACAGGGAGAAAGCACAGTCCTCCAAACTAGAATCCCTTCTGGTCTCTGACCCCTTTCCCCAGCCCGTGTCCTGGAATTATCTACTGCACATAGACCCTTGTGTCAGGCTCTGCATTCTGGGAGGACACTGTTACAGGATGAGCTATGGTCCCTGAAGTCTTAACCTCTAGCACCTCAGTATCTGACCTGTCTTAAAAATCGTCATTGCAGATATAACTAAGATGAAGTCGTGCGGGAACAGCGCGACCCCTAGCCCAGTCTGACCGGTATTCTTATACAGTGGGAACATTTGGACACAAGAGACAGACACAGGGAGAGCAAGGCTGAAAGCCGAAAAGCGGGAGCATCTGCAAAGCCAACAGGGAGGCCAGGAGCATTTGTTTTGCGGCCCCCAGCAGGAGCCAGACCTGCTAATTCCTGGATCTCACACTTCTGGGATGTAGAGCTGTCAGGGGAGGGAATTCCATTGTCTCAGCCCTGGGTTTGCGCTACTGTCCTGCAGCTGTCCAGGAAACTAATGACATTATCAGCCCCCTCTCTTCTCACCATGATCCTCCAGAAGCTCAGGAACCAGCCACCAGAGACACATCCGGGAGTGAGAAAGTACATGGGACACGGGGGCCAGGACACCGTCACAGGAGAGGGCCGAAGGTTCGCTGAGATGCTTTCAAAGGATCCCCAGGATCCCAAGGATCGTCCCGCTCCACACGGTTGGTCTTGATCCCGTGCTACCCTAGCAGGAAACCTGCACTGCAGGCAGCTGTGTGCACTGACGCAGGTCACACGTCTCGGGGCCTTCGGAGCGAGCTCAGTGCCCTGGGACCGAACTGGAGTCCTCAGCACGAGCCCCAGTCCACGCAAGCCAGCACAGGAGCTGGACAGCCCGGAACTCCCAGCTCTCACCCACTGGGAAAAGCACAGGACCCAACTCTACACCACATGGGAGACTCTGCCAGTGACCGCTAAGAATCTTCGGTGCCCTCCCAGGTGGGAAAGGCCTGCCGCCCACCCTGCTCGAGCTCCCGCCCTGCCCACCCCGCTTAGCATCCCCCTCTCACCGTGTTGTCTTCCGTGTGCCAGGAGATGTTGCCGACCATCCTCAGCGCCTGCTGCATGGGGAAGTAGAAGGCGACACTCTGGAAAGGATTCTGTTTCCGGAGCCACTGCCACTGGACGACGTCCAAGCGCATGGGCACGTCCCCTTGCTCGTCAAAAAAGATCTGGTTGCTCAGGAGGGGGAAGTTGACCTTGCGAATCTCTTTGAGCAGCTAGAGAGGTCAGAAGGAAGAGGAGGGGTAGAGTTGGAGGAGCCCAGCACCCCACCACCTCCAGCTCTACAGCTGTCAAACGGGGGGTCTCAGATGCTCTGGAATCAGATGCTCCTGGGTCGAGGCCTCAGCTCCGTCCCATGCTGTGCAGCGTTGCACCTGGTGCTTAACCTCTCTGAACCTCAGTCTTCTCTACTACAAAGCAGCAGCAGTGTGACCCTGCTTGCTGGGCTCTGAAGACAGAAATGCACTCGTCTGTTAGGCACTGAGAGCTAATGATGTCTAAGAAACCTGGCCTCATCGCGCTCCTTGGGAGTCACCCAAGGTCTGTGTCCCTCTCGCCTGCAAAGGCCAGCTGGGGTTGCCCCTGCTCCCCGGGTCCTTCCTGTCTCCCACATGTTAGGGCCAGCTCTTTCCAGTGGCTCCTGCATCCTGGAAGCAGATGCCAACTAGAACTGCTCGGAGCTGGGCATCTTCTGTCCCCCACTGGCTGGTTACTTTGGCCACTGAGCGTCAGAGCCTCCAGGCTAAGCCTAAAAGGACTCCAATGTGCTCTACTCCCCCAGAGGGGAGGGTCTGTTAGGCCCTCGGACCTGCCTCCGGGAGCCTCTCCCGGAGTCCAGACGCGAGGCCCAACGGCCCTGGTCTCAGGAGCTGAGAGCCGGACAATGGATGGGGGTCAGGGCACGGAGCTCCCTGGGTCCCCTCCTATAGTGACCTGGCCAAGCCTGGCTCAGGCAGCTGAGATCGAGGACCTCCCACACCTGGGGCAGAAAGCTGAGTCTGGTCATGAGACTGAGTGGGTGGGGCTTTGGCATCTCTACAGGCCCTCACTGGGTCTGAGCCCCGTGACCCCTCTTCTTACCTCACCCCACCCCGTCTCTAGCATTGACTGCAGGCATCTGAGGGGGACACGAATGTGTCCTCCGCCTCCTCCTCTCTCCTGAGGTGTCAGAGAGGAGGCTCCTTCAGCCTCCCCTCCGCACCAGAAAATTGTTTTGTTGTTATGTCTAAATTACTCCTTCTGCTTAACAGATGAGAAAGCTGAGTGCTCCTGGACTAATGTATCTGCAGAAAAGGCCGCTGCTCCCTAACTCCCAGCCACACTGTTTAGGCCAGAGAAGATCCAGGGGACAGGGAGGCAGGGCCCTAACTCCCTGCCACGTGTCTCATCTCAGGTCCCTGCTTAGAACTCTCCGTGGGCTCCTAACCTGCAAGATACAGCCCGACTCCTTCATCCGGGCCTTCATGTCCTCCAGGGTCTCCTGTAGCTCCCCTTGGGCCCTACTCTCTGCCTTGTGGCCAGGTCACCGCTCTCCTACTCTCCCGTGCTGCCCGGTGCCTGCCTTCCCCTCCCCCTGCATCTGGTCCCTGTCCCCTCCCATCATGCGGCCCCTACCCGGAGCCCAGCAGCAATTTCAACTTCCAGCTGCATTTTAGAAGTGACAGATTTATTTTCTTTTATTTTATTATTTTATTTTTGAGACAAGGACTTTCTGTGTAGTTCAGGCTGGACTTGAACTCACTACATAGGCCTCGAACTCACAGCAATCCTCCTGCCCCAGCCTCCTGAATGCTGGGATTGCAGGTGTGCATCACCACACCTGGCCAAGGGACAGATTTAACTGCCTTCATCTCTTCCTAGGTGCAGGTGCCCAGGACCTGGCACACAGTAGGTGGGCATCCTGGTGGCTGTGACTGGCGCCCTGTCTCACTGTTGGGAGAAGACAGGAGACACTGGTTCTGCATCACAGCTCCCGAGGAAGGTGGAATGGAAGGGAGCCAGTGTGGGGTGGAGACGTGGGTTCAAAGCCCCGAGCAGCACAGGCATGCACATCACCTCCTGACCCTCTGCTCCCTATCTGCAGATGATCAGCCTCAGATTAGGGTGACTGAGTTAGAGCCGCTGTGCAGGGCAGGCAGCACCCGGTTGGCAACCAGAAAACAGCGAAACTTATGCACGCTTCTGTGTGTGGCTTGGGCGTGCAAGGTTGCACTCGGAGTGTATGGCATAGAGGTGCATTAAAACAGACAGAGGGGGGCTGGGGATTTAGCTCAGCGGCATAAGCGCCTGCCTTGCAAGCAGGCAGTCCTGAGTTCGATCCCTGGTACTGATAAAAAGGAAAAAGACGAAAAGAAAAAAAAAAAAAAAAAAACAGACAGAGAAAGATTTTTTTCTTTTCTGTTTTGTGTGTCTGCAGCTGGTGCTGAGGATGGGACCCAGGGTCTTAGGCTTGCACACGCTCTGCCACTGAGCTGCACCCCTGCGCAGACTCTGCAGTACAGGGGAGGAGTTATCTGCGGACAGATGGGGATTTAGAAAGGGAGAATGAAGGGAGGAGCTGGGCTGGATTTCGGAAGTGGCTGAGAGACAAGGCAGGAGGCCGGGTCCAAAGGGCTGCTGAGAAGCGGACCGCCTGGGCACACTGTGGAAAGCGCGGTCTTCCAACGCGAATCCCCTCTGCCCTCCTGACCCTCCTCTGTGCCACCCTCTCCAGCCTCGCAGGCTTCACGGTAGGATGTGTGTGAAATCAGAAAAACACAGACATAAATTCCAGGTCCGAATCAAGCTGTCGCAGCCCTGGACACTAAGAAGAGCCGCTGGACGGCAGGCCTTGGTGAGCTCAGGGGAAAACAGCTGCCCTCCGCAGGGCCTCTGAGGACAGACTGTCTGGGGTGGCGACTACTTGAAAAGGGCTTGTTTTGTTTGTTTGTTTGTTTGTTTTGGTCTTTTTGAGACAGGTCTCTCTATGCAGTCCAGGTGGCCTTGAGCTCACTTTGTAGCCCAGGCTGGTCTCGAACTCGCAATGATGCTCCTCCCTCAGCCTTCCGAGTGCTGGGATTACAGGCGTGAGCCATCATGCCCAGCTGAAAAAGGGCTTCTTTTGGCATCCGGAAAGACTTCCGGCTCTTTGCATGCTGAGGGAGGGATACTCTGTGTCCTCTCAGGCCCCTGCACCCAGAGCCCCCTCCCCACCGCTGAGCTCCCCATAGAGCTGAGCCAGGACACACACACACACACACACACACACACACACACACACACACCGCTGTTTCCATGGCAACTGAGTCGGGAGGGCCCTCTGTGCCGGCCTGGGGCACTCACCTGCCAAGGATAGACGGTTTTCTTGGTGCAGTGATGCCGGCCGCAGTGCAGCAGGTTGTGCAAGGCGTGCGCCACAGCATACACGGCCGAGTACACGCAGTAGACCACTCGCTCTCCAGAGAGCGTGAGGATGCTGCTGAAGGTCTTGGTGACGTTCAAGCAGGCATCACACTCCTGGTTGCAGGTGGCCCGCGAGCTGTTCTTGGTGGGCTGCCGCTCGGGTGTGGCCTCCGTGGGGCGCAGGCGGAACTCACTGAAGCCAGGGATGGTCACCGCCTGAATGGTGATGCCGAGGAAGGTCCCGGTGCTCTGCAGCCCGGGAAGGTTGTGCAGGACCGGGTCGATAGACCAGGACTCCGAGGCGATCCACACGGTGTCCGTGACGTTCCAGTACAGCGCCCCGTGAAAGAAGTTATGCAGGACCAGCTCAGGCGAGAAGATGACCACGACGCGCGCAGTGGACTGCTTCAGCTTGAGCAGGATGCTGTCCAGCTGCTTCAGCTCTGCGGCCGTCAGGAACTGGTTGGCCTGCGGGGTGGGCAGCACCTCCTGGAAGGCCACGCAGATGTCATTGGTGCGGGCCAGGCGGTCTCGGAGCAGCTGGCTGTTGTCACGGCCGTAGTCGTCGTTGCTCATCAGCACCACGATCCAGTTCCAGTGGAAGTGAAGCATCAGCTGGACCATGGCCTCGATGTGGTGCGTGGCGCTGGGCATGGTGCGCAGCATGGCCGGGTAGAGCCGCTTGTTGCGCAGCTGGTCAGAGTTGGCGCTGTAGGTGATCTGCCAGAGGCCAGGGGTCGCCGTGTTAGGGAGGGACCCACTGTGTACCCGGCCCGAGTGGGCGCCCACGGTGTGGCAGGGGTTTCACCCACCATCATCCGTGTGAGCCACGCCAGGACCAGGTGTTCACACCCTCACCCTCGGGTTCTTCCCAGTAACACATGAGAACCTACTGTGTGCGGCCCCAGCTAGGTGCTTCAGGGCAGCATCGCTGTGATTATCGGTGGGGTAACTCAGGCGCCTACTGTGCATGACACCCTGGCTCGGTGCTGTGCACAGCATCAGCTGGTAATATTTACAAAGCACCTACTGTGCGCCCCTGGACAGCATGCTTTCCTCCTCAGCACCATCATCCAGGAAGCTTCCGGTTTTCCTCCCAGCGCGCTGGTTGCTTTCTATCCTTTCCTGGTTCCATTCCTTGACCTGGGGTGGGGGGACCTCAGGCTTGGGGTTCCACGATGGTTTATTATTTTTTTCTTAAGTGAGGTTTTTCAGAGGTTGTTAAGTTGCCCCGGCTGAACTCAAACTTGGGATCCTCCTGCCTCAGCCTCCCAGAGTGCTGCAATTATAGTCATGCACCACTGCACGCCTGCCAGCCTGGTTCTTTTCCTCTGCACTCATCCCCGGAGAGCCCGTCCAGCCTCTTCAGACTGACAACTTGCTGTCATTTACTGCAGCATCCCCGCAGCATCCCTGACTCTATTTATTTCTGTCTATTGTCTCTCTGGACTAGAAGATAAACTCCAGGAGGGCAGGGATCTGTGTTTGTTTGGTTCCCAGCTGTGTCTCCAGCACTGACACACTCCTTAGCACACAATTGGTATGCGAAAAATAGTTGTTACATGAGGGAACAGATGTGGCCCTGGGTTAGGGCCTTCACATAAAAATATTAACACTCAGCGAGCACCTACTATGTGTCAGACCCAGGCTCCATGCCTCCTACTGTGCTGCTGCTTTTTAATGAATACTTTCTCTCTACCAGAACCAGCCTGGGTGCTTTCAATCATGACGATGATGACAGTCACCATTAGTCATGCATAGCATCTTTTTGAGCACCTACTATGAGGCAGATACTGCGCTGGGCAACTGACCAGATAATATTGAATAGCTTCTGAGTCTGTGTCCCTGTGTAAGACACTTTATGTAACAATCATATTATCGGTCCAGCTGGACTCTTACAGGTTGAGCATTTTACCCAGCAGACAGTCCTGGCATGGAAATGTTATCATCCCACTTTATAAGTGGGAAAACTGAGGCTCAGAAGGTTAGGAGGTTTGCCAAAGATTTCACAGTGGCAAAATGCATCCTCGGGCTGTTGGCTTCCAGAGCCCAAGCTGCCTCCTCAGGATGCGGGTCTGACCTTGCTCCTGCTCCCACTCCTGTGGTGATGGAGGAAGGGCTTCCCAGCCACCTGCAGAGTCACCCTTCCGACCCTGCCCCAGCCCCTCTGTGAGGACCAGAGCCTCACCTGTGGGAGGAGAAAGAGGGAGAGGAAGTTGGCCACCGTTATGGTGGACTCGGAGTTGTCAGGGCCAATGACGGCCACCACACGTGGTATGTAGTAGCTGTAGTCCTTGCTGATGGGCAGGAAGTAATCCGGCTGTGTCAGGAAGTAGAGCACGGGCTGCACGTTGTTGGTTTGGTAGCAGATGTCCACTATCTCATAGCCCAGCTGCACGCCGGGCAGCAGGCTGCTGTGGTTGTTGATCTCCTCCACCGCGAAGCGCATGGCCTGCATGAGGTTGTAGCCCAGCACCTTCATTTCGTACCTGGAGGGTTAAAAGGTAGCTGAAAGGTACAGAGGGAGGCGGGGAAGGGAGGAGAGAGCCAGGGAGGGCCAAGGCGCTGACCAGGGAGCCACTGCGGAAGAGTCTGGCACCTTCACCACAGCCTCGTCACTGTACCATGTCGCTCAGATCACAATTGTCCCTGTGGCCAGCACAGACACTGTGATCCCTGTGGCCACCATTGCTACCATCACTATGAGCTCCAGCACCACTCTACTGATGTCTGCTGTGACCACCATGCCCACAGTGACCACATTCCCACTGTCACCTGCATCACCAATCCACCAGTGGCCAGTATCGGTACCACTGCTGTTAATTTCACCACACCTTTGTGACCAGCATCATCACTCATACCACGACCATAACCACCGCCATCACCTCCGACACCATCACCATCACCACCACCATCACCACCACTATCGCCATTACCATCACAATCACTACCATCATCACCACCATCACCACCACCATCAGCACCACCATCGCCACCACCACCACCACCACCATCACCATCACCACTACCATCACAATCACCACCATCACCACCACCATCACCATCACTACCACCACCATCACCACCATCACCACCACCACCACCACCATCACCACCATCACCATCACCACCACCATCACCATCACCACCATTACCACCGCTATCACCATCACTACCACCACCGCCATCACCACCACCATCACCACCACCACCATCACCACCGCCATCACCACCACCATCACCATCACCACCATTACCACCACCACCATCACCATCACCACCATCACCACCACCATCACCATCACTACCACCACCATCACCACCATCACCACCATCACCACCACCACCATCACCACCACCATCACCACCGCCATCACCACCACCACCACCATCACCATCAGCATCACCACCATTACCACCATCACCATCACCATCACCACCATCACCATCACCACCATCACCACCACCACCACCATCACCATCACCATCACCACCATTACCACCATCACCATCACTACCACCACCATCACCACCATCACCACCACCACCACCATCACCACCATCACCATCACCACCACCATCACCATCACCACCATTACCACCGCTATCACCATCACTACCACCACCGCCATCACCACCACCATCACCACCACCACCATCACCACCGCCATCACCACCACCATCACCATCACCACCATTACCACCACCACCATCACCATCACCACCATCACCACCACCATCACCATCACTACCACCACCATCACCACCATCACCACCATCACCACCACCACCATCACCACCACCATCACCACCGCCATCACCACCACCACCACCATCACCATCAGCATCACCACCATTACCACCATCACCATCACCATCACCACCATCACCATCACCATCACCACCACCATCACCACCACCACCACCATCACCATCACCATCACCACCATTACCACCATCACCATCACTACCACCACCATCACCACCATGACCATCACCACTACCATCACCATCACCACCATCACCACCACCATCACCATCACTACCACCACCATCACCACCATCACCACCACCACCACCACCATCACCACCACCATCACCATCACCACCATCACCACCGCCATCACCACCACCATCACCACCACCACCATCACCACCACCATCACCACCACCACCATCACCACCGCCATCACCACCACCATCACCACCACCATCACCATCACCACCATTACCACCACCACCATCACCATCACCACCATCACCACCACCATCACCATCACTACCACCACCATCACCACCATCACCACCATCACCACCATCACCACCACCACCATCACCACCGCCATCACCACCACCACCACCATCACCATCAGCATCACCACCATTACCACCATCACCATCACCACCATCACCACCATCACCACCACCACCATCACCACCACCATCACCATCACCACCATCACCACCACCATCACCATCACTACCACCACCATCACCACCATCACCACCACCACCACCACCATCACCACCACCACCATCACCACCGCCATCACCACCATCACCACCACCATCACCACCACCATCACCACCGCTATCACCACCATCACCACCACCATCACCACCGCCATCACCACCACCACCATCACCACCACCATCACCACCACCACCACCATCACCATCACCACCATTACCACCACCACCATCACCACCATTACCACCACCACCATCACCATCACCACCATCACCACCGCTATCACCATCACTACCACCACCGCCATCACCACCACCATCACCACCACCACCATCACCACCGCCATCACCACCACCACCACCATCACCATCACCACCATTACCACCATCACCATCACCACCATCACCATCACTACCACCACCATCACCACCATCACCACCATCACCACCACCACCATCACCACCATCACCACCACCACCATCACCACCACCATCAGCACCACCATCGCCACCACCACCACCACCACCATCACCATCACCACTACCATCACAATCACCACCATCACCACCACCATCACCATCACTACCACCACCATCACCACCATCACCACCACCACCACCACCACCATCACCACCATCACCATCACCACCACCATCACCATCACCACCATTACCACCGCTATCACCATCACTACCACCACCGCCATCACCACCACCATCACCACCACCACCATCACCACCGCCATCACCACCACCATCACCATCACCACCATTACCACCACCACCATCACCATCACCACCATCACCACCACCATCACCATCACTACCACCACCATCACCACCATCACCACCATCACCACCACCACCATCACCACCACCATCACCACCGCCATCACCACCACCACCACCATCACCATCAGCATCACCACCATTACCACCATCACCATCACCATCACCATCACCACCATCACCATCACCACCATCACCACCACCACCACCATCACCATCACCATCACCACCATTACCACCATCACCATCACTACCACCACCATCACCACCATCACCACCACCACCACCACCACCATCACCACCATCACCATCACCACCACCATCACCATCACCACCATTACCACCGCTATCACCATCACTACCACCACCGCCATCACCACCACCATCACCACCACCACCATCACCACCGCCATCACCACCACCATCACCATCACCACCATTACCACCACCACCATCACCATCACCACCATCACCACCACCATCACCATCACTACCACCACCATCACCACCATCACCACCACCACCATCACCACCACCATCACCACCGCCATCACCACCACCACCACCATCACCATCAGCATCACCACCATTACCACCATCACCATCACCATCACCACCATCACCATCACCATCACCACCACCATCACCACCACCACCACCATCACCATCACCATCACCACCATTACCACCATCACCATCACTACCACCACCATCACCACCATGACCATCACCACTACCATCACCATCACCACCATCACCACCACCATCACCATCACTACCACCACCATCACCACCATCACCACCACCACCACCACCATCACCACCACCATCACCATCACCACCATCACCACCACCATCACCATCACTACCACCACCATCACCACCATCACCACCACCACCACCACCATCACCACCACCACCATCACCACCGCCATCACCACCATCACCACCACCATCACCACCGCCATCACCACCATCACCACCGCCATCACCACCACTATCACCACCATCACCACCACCATCACCACCGCCATCACCACCACCACCATCACCACCACCATCACCACCACCACCACCATCACCATCACCACCATTACCACCACCACCATCACCACCATTACCACCACCACCATCACCATCACCACCATCACCACCGCTATCACCATCACTACCACCACCGCCATCACCACCACCATCACCACCACCACCATCACCATCACCACCATCACCACCGCTATCACCATCACCATCACCACCATTACCACCATCACCATCACCACCATCACCATCACTACCACCACCATCACCACCATCACCACCATCACCACCACCACCATCACCACCATCACCACCACCACCATCACCACCGCCATCACCACCATTACCACCATCACCATCACTACCACCACCATCACCACCATCACCATCACCACTACCATCACCATCACCACCATCACCACCACCATCACCATCACTACCACCACCATCACCACCATCACCACCACCACCACCACCATCACCACCGCCATCACCACCACCATCACCATCACCACCACCACCACCATCACCATCACCACCATCACCACCACCACCACCACCACCACCATCATCACCACCATCACCACTATCATCACCACCACCATCACCATAGTGGCCACCATCAACACCATCTTTACCACACCACCATCACCGTTACCATGTTAGTGCTATCACCACCATCACTGTATGCTTTGATTTTACTACCATCTGTGTTTCTCCTGTCAACGTGATCCACGTCACTAGCACGTCACTACCCCCACTGCCATTGCTAGATTGCCCGTCATTGTCCAACACATCAGAAAATCCAGCACTGTGCTCGGCATCATCACTGGCAGCACAGCCCTAACCGCTGTCCGGCCAGCACCTGCTGTCTCCTGGCATCACGGAAATGGAGCGCTTCTTAGTCAGCCCCTGGTCACCTTTGCCTCTCTCCTTTCTTCCTATCTCTAGAATGTTCCACCTTCTCTGAGGGAGGCCACTGTTCACAGCCCTCGGCTGGCTGTAGTGACCTGTTGCTTGCAGGAGGAGGGTCCACCCAGTCTCTGTATGGTGCTGTCATCCTGAGGGACTCACAGGGCGGGGGTCACCCGCAGTCTTAGAAGCATGGCCCACCCATCCAAACACAGCCCTTAGACAGTGCAAACCTCCCCTCCACCTGAGAACCTGCAACAGGTTCCTGCCTCCCAAAGGCACCATAATGGGGAGTCCCCCACTGCTAAGGTGGGTAGGGGGGTTCTGAAGTCTCTAAGACCCGCTCTGAGCTCAGACATCCTGGAACTCTACAGGGAGACATGACACCAGGACAGCCCCGGTCCCATGGTCACAGGACACGACCCCAAAGATTGCAGTGACTAGGATGACAGGGGGCCTCCCTGGGGACCAGGAGATGGGGAGCAATGGATGAGGAGTATTTTGAGCTGTCAGTCCTGGTCCGGCTTCCTGAAGACCACAGGACCAGACCTGGATCCCCATGCCATCCCCATGCCACCCCCACAGCCACAATCAGGCTCATGTGAGACTCACTCCTCGCAGCTGGGCACCTGCAGGATGGTGAGGTGGGAAGTGCCCTTTGCATTGGCATGGAGGGTAAAAAGGCCACCCAGGAGGTAGTCCCCAGGCAGGAAGAAGTCCAAGTTCTCAGCTGGCTCGGCCAGCCCAGTCAGGAGCTGCATCGGGAAGAACAGGTGCCAGAGTGTCCTTATCCAGAGCCCCATGGCTGCGAAGTGACAGTGTCGGGGGTGGTCTGCCTCACTGGAGACCTGGTGACTCCACACCAGGGCATTTGCACAGACATTTACATAGTGATGGTCCTGCCACTGAGGCACCTGGGACAGGTGGAGCCCTCTGAGGGCGGAGGGGAAGGAGCCAGAAGGAATCAGGGTGACTTTCTGGGACTGCGTGGGGTCTGGGAGCAGAACTCCGTTTGGAGGGAGACCATACCCTGCTGGCTTCTGCTCCTTGGTCAGGAATCTGTTCCCTGTCTCGACAGTGAACATTTCGGCATTAAGGACATAAGTGTTTCCAGGAGACAGAGCAGGGCAGCAAAAGACCCAAGCTCTGGGGCCAGCTAAGGGTGCACAGTGTAATATTCACACAGCACCTGGCCCGTGGGGTGTCCAACAGGCAGTGGCCACCATCAGCGAGAACCAGGCATCACCTGAGAGCTTGTCATCCACCGTCTCCTTTAATGCTCCCATGTCTGGGACCCTTGCTGACCTCATTTAACAGATGTGGAGACCGAGGCCCTGAGAAGTTAGGAAACTCACCCGGTGCGTGGCTCGCAGAAGCCAGGATGCATGGGGCACCACTGTCAGCTGTGTGACTGATGTGAACCCCTCCACGTGCCCGCCTTGACTCTGTGTCGGGGGCAGGAGCATCTGCAAAAGGGAGAATTCTTAAAGGTGTCTGCCCCGAGAACGGGCGGGAGGGAGGTGCCTCCGTGGACTAGAGGCCCATCGGAAGCAGGAGCCCACATTTCCGTCACTCTGCACTGCCCCTTTTGAACCAGATGTGTGGAGAAGCAGTGGCCTCGGGTGACCTGCTGCACACAGCCTGGCTGGACGGCTACCACTTTCCGTCACCTCCTCCAGGACACAGTCACCTATGAGTGGAGGTGTGGATTCTGGGCCTGGTGTGCTCGTCTCAGGGCCTCAGTTTCCTCTTCTGTACTATGGGACGCCAGCTCTGTGCTGTCTTATCCACCACCACACCGGCTACACACAGCCCCGCCTTGAACTCACCTCTGCCTCCAGCCTCTCTGCAGCTAGGCCATTTTTCCATGCCCCCCACCCAAGCCAGCTCATTGCCTCCTTGTCCCTTGCTCCTCTGCTCTCTCCTCCCAGGACTCCCTCCCACCGCACCAGGTCCACAGGCCCAGTACTGGACCCAGTACTCAAGGCCTCAGCAGCCTGGCCCTGCGAAGTTCCCCGCCCTTCTGGGAGACCCCATCCAGCTGTGTCCACGTGGGCCTCTTTGGTTCTGCAGAATCTTCCCGAGGTAGCATTCTAGGGACATCCAGCCTGCAGCTTGTCTGTGGTCTGTGCTGAGACACCGTCCAGGGTCCTTGTGCTGACCACAGAAGACAGCCGTACACTGTGTCACTGTGACTGCCTCCTTCAGTGCTGCCCAAAGCTGTCACCCAGGGCCCGATCTAGGGCCTGAGGTCCCCGTGTTTACACCCATGTGGCCACTGGTTCCAAGGTGACGGGCAGCCATGACAGACTTATGCAAAGCGCTCGGAGGAGGCAAAGGGGCCCTGACAGGCCCAGGGCTGCCCATTTGCCTTGGCGTCCGCTCCTGGTGCTCAGGGAAAGGAACGGGGCTACCGTGGACTTCCTTCCTCTGTCCCACGTGCCCTGTGGGTGGCTGGGGCTACAGCCCTGCAAGGACCAGCAGCTGCAGGGACCTCAGTGCCTGGGCAGGGCTAGGAAACCGGTGGCCCTCAAGCTGGCCAGAGGGAGCTCAGTGCATGGGCACCAGGGAGACCCTGGGGCAGTCTCAGGGGGCCACAGCAGTCCAGAGCCATAGTTTCCTATCTGTGAAATGGGGCCAAACAAGTATCCCCTCCCTTGCAGGCTGGTATGACCCACGAACATTAGTAGGAATGCAGGACTTATCAGTAGGTCTGTAATCCCGGCACTCTGGGAGGCTGAGGCAGGAAGATCACAAGGGTGAGCCCAGCCTGGACAACTCAGTAACTTAATGAGATCATGCCTCAAAATAAAAGTGAAGGGGCTGGGGATGTAGCTCAGTATTAAGACCCTGGTCCTCCCCGACCTCCACAGATTCTCAGTTGGATCAGGGTTCACCCCTTTCCTGGACACGCATGCATCCAGGATGAAGTTCTTGTGTTTAGAACATCTCACTCAGCCAGGTCATAGAGCCTGGTCCTTTATTTTAAAATATTTTCTTTGAACTCAGTCCCCCAAGAAATGTCCACCCTGAATCTGGGAGGTCAAGGAACAACTAAGAGAGGTCAGGCCCGAGATTTGAGTTCCAGGGTATCTGGGTCTTTAGCCATTCAGTAGTGATGCCAATGGCCTGGCTGCTGGAGATGGGGCTGGCCATTTTCCATTAGTTAACCTGTCTGCACCTCAGTTTCCCCACCTGTTAAATGGGAGCAGCAGGATACTTTACAGGGCTGCCATGAGAATAAAGGAGCTAAGGCAGGTCTAGGCAAGCCCGGGCCCTAAGCAGAACCCATAGGGGATACAAAGATGGGGGGCAGGGGAAAGGTTATCACAAAAATGAAGGTGGGATTCCAGAGGGCCAGCCTCACCCTGCCACTTCCTCTGAGTGCCAACCTTGGGGCTCTGAGTGGGCCTGGTGGCTGGCAGCTGGCACAGGTGGCCCTCATTTCCTTAATGCATGCTCGGCTGGTGACCCATAAGATGGCGATGGCAGGGACATCCTGCCTCAGTCAAATGGCTCAGGCTCCGAGTCCAGGAGCAGCCAGGCCCCCGGCCACTACAGGTAAATGAAGAAGCTCCTTGGGTGACCGCAGGCATGGGGAGTTGGCGTGCTGGCCATGCAAAGAGGCCTCGGGCACCTGAGCAGGGACAGGCATTGTGCCTGAGAGCCATCAGCCCTCAGTCTAGGGCTGGGCACGGGCAGGGGGCACTTGCTCTAGTTCTAAAGGAGGCTGAGGTGCCAGGTTGGAATCAAATGACAATGGCAGAGGAACTTGGGAGACAGGGACCCGATGGACCAGGTGGTCAAGGTGCATGGGCTGTGGGAACCCAGATCTGGGGTTCAAACCCACCTTCTTAAAAGCAAGCTGTGTGACCCTGGGCTAGCCCTTCCCCTCTGGCCTCTATCAGCCACCCCAGAAGCCAAACAGTGACTCTGTCCGGGCCACCAGCTTGGCAAGCACATAGCCAGACATTAGCCACCTCTGCCCATTTCAATGTGATCTCAAGCAAGTTTTATTAGTTGCTTGAAAACACAGAGCCCACACATCCTTCAGGTCTAAGATGCCACCCTGCCCTTCTGGGAGCCCCAGTCAAGGCACTCTAGCCACTCACGGCCTTTGTCCCTGGGCACAGCCACCTGCAAACTCAGAAGTGGCAGCTCTAAGGGAGTGCGGAAGGGCTACATTGGGGGGAAATCCCCCCTCCCACCTGCCCCGGCCGCCCACTGGGGAATGGAGACTCGGGAAGAACAGCCATCCATGTCCACGGGCAGCTGCCGGCAGAATCCGCCCCATTCTGTTAAGATCACCTGCTAAGGACAAAGCCTGCCCACATCATGGAGGGTGACTGGCTCCACCTCTTTATCAAAGCCCACTGATTTTAATGTCATCTTCACAGACACATTCACAATGTTTGGCCAAATATCTGAGTCCCCATGGCCCGGCAACGCACACATTAAACCACCGTGGCCCTTGGTTGTTCTCACGATGGCTCAAGGTAATGCTCCTGATTATCACCCAGCCGGCACTGCACTAAATATCTGTATGATTTTGCCTCAATTCCCATGATAACCTGTGTGCGTGTGCATGAGAGAGAATCATCCCCATTTTATGGATGAAGAGATTCAAGTTTCAGGAGATTACAAGACTTTTTGCAAACTACTTGGCTGGGAAGCAGTGACCCAAGATTTGGACCCAAAGGGTCTGGCTCCTACCGTCTGCATCAGGTACTCCAGATGCCAGGGCCCATCTTGCTTCCTGGCACACTGAGGGTACCGTGTCTGCCACCTGACAACACACTGCAGTGCCATCAGACTCAAGAGGGATCAGTCAGTCACGCCACAACCCCAGCCCCCACCCAGAAAGACCACAGTTTGATAGGTGACAGGCATTTTATTGGTGGCACTGGGTGCTCCCCACTGCCCCCTCACAGTGTAGACAGGATCAGTAGAAAAACCTCCAGCCTGCGCCCCCTTCCCAGCCCACCACAGGAAATGACACAGAACCCAGAAGCAAACAGTCCACTCCTGGCCGAGGTGGCACCAGACCCACCCCAGACTGTGCACCATGATAGGAAGTAGGCACTTGGGCATCCCCACATCAGCTGTGTGGGCACCGGAACTCCCTCAGCCCCTTGTGCATCATCCTGGAAAGTCACACAGCACAGACCCTGAGCACAGAGCCCAAGCACCGAGGGGTTTCCAGTCAGTCAGTCATCAGCTGCATCTGGCAAAGAACAGGCCACTGAGGGGCCCATCACACAGAGCCACTGACATGCTGAGGAGTCCAAGGTTCATCCTCAGCCCAGGCCAAGGCTTGGGACAGGGCAACAGGGCCAGCAGTGTCAGCCTGGGCTGAGCTGAGTCCTTGCAGGGGAATCTGGCTCTTACTTGGGCTGTGGGGACAGACCTCTCTGGAGGCAGGATCAGGAGAGCTAAAAGACAGCTCAGTAGATCAGAAGTAATCCAAAATTTCCCAAATTGCAGCCACCCTAGGAGGACCTCCTTCCCCCACACCTTGGCCGTGGGCCTGGGGCAACACAGGCACCAGGAAGAAGGCACATGATGTCGAAGGCATACGGCTGGGCACAGGCGGGCAGGACTGAGGCTGAGTGCGGGCGGGGGCAGCCCAGACCACAGAGGGTGAGGAGGTGAGCTAGCTGTGCCCTGCAGACCCGGCCACTCTCAGGCCTGGAGCTGCCTCTTTTCCCACAGGTCCTCAGGGGTGCTCCCTCCATTCCCCAGGTGCTTCTGAGCCACCAGGCCCAGCAGGCAGAGCGGGAAGCAGACCAATGGAGAACCAGCCGAGCACCCGGGCCGCCCTGCTAGCTACTAGGGCAGTTCCAGGGTGGATGACGGGAAAAACGATCAGCGGCTTTTTCTTCCCCAACATGATCTCAAACCAGAGCCTGGGCACCTAAGGCTGGAGACTGGGGGGCTGGGAGATGGACAGAGAGCAGGAGAGGTTAAGCATGGCTCTACAAGGGGCACTGTCGACGAGGAGCCCGTGGAGCAGGAGTGCGGTCAGTGCGGCAGGGTCAGTACAGCAAGGTCATCTGGATGGACACAGGCAGACATGGTGGCACTGAGCAGAGCTCACTGCATGTACGAGTAGCGCCAGTCTCCCAGGGGCTTGTGGGTCTCCTTGATGGCCTGGGGTGACGTCCAGCGCAGGATGTAGTGGGGACCCCCTGGCTTGTCATTGGTGCCTGTGGAAAACACAGTGGTATTTTTCTCAAAAAAGACACAAGAGTGCTGGGCAGACGGGCCACAGGGGAGGGCAGAATCAACAGGCACCAGCGGTGGCAGCAAGGTGCCAGAGGGACATCGGGGGACCCTCCCTTCCGTCTGCAGGCTGGAAGGGGTCACAGCAGTGGGGTTGCTGGGCAGGCACATCCAGACCAAGTGCACACAGGTGGAGGTTGGGGGAGGCCAATACCTGGGGGGCCGTGTGCTCCACCAGCAAGAGAAAGAGGCAGGTACTGCGGAGAGAGCACTGGATGGGGTCAGAGAGCTGCTAGGAGCCTGAGACACAGCAAGAAATCTGTGCCCTGCCTTCCAACCTCCTTCTCTCCCCATGTCCCTAATCCCCTTGGAATTTCCCAAGGGGCAAAACCCAGTGGAGCATCTTTTGTTATTCTTATGTCCCTTCCAGTCACAGCTGCATTTATGTTCATGAGTAGCTTGTAGGGGCCGGGCACTGAGGGGAAGCATCTGGGTGGTTAAGGGTTGATACTTCAGCCCTGGTCCACCAATGGGGAAGCTGCATCCTGACTTAATTACCAATGGCCAATGATTTTGCTGAACACTGTCCCTATATAAATAATGCCTCCCTAGGCCACTCCATCCCCCCAACACACACAAGGACAGGGTTTTGACGGCTTCTGGACTGGTGAATAAGAACACATCTCCATGCAAGGATGGTGGTATACCCAGAACTCCATGGGGACAGAAGCTCCTGTGCGCAGGAACCTTCCAGACCTTATCTATCCCAGCTCTTCATCTGGCTATTCATCAGTGTTCTTTAAAATATCCTGTTACCCCATTATCAGGGTTCAGGAAGACCTTGACAATACCAAAGGGGTAGAAAGAGATAATAACAGGAAACTTTCCAATCCCTGGAGAAGCATACAAATACACAGATACAGGGAGGTCAAAGGTCACCAGTTAGATTTGAGCAAGTCTATACCCAAGAGATAGTATAATCAAGTTTCCAATGGTAAAAGATAGAGTCTCAAGACTGCAAGAAAAAACAAACAAACATGTCCCAGTTTCCCCAACAGCAGACTTCTCAGCAGAAACCTGACTGGCCAGGAGAGTCACAATAAGACCTTACTAACAGATAATCACATTAAATATAAATGAATTAAATTCTCCAATTAAAAGATACAATGACTGAATGGATTTTTAAAGATTCAACCATCTGTTGCTTATAAAAAAACCTCACATCACTCTCAAGTATCCATGCAAAATGAAAGTGAAGGTACAGGTTAGATATTCCATGCACATGGAGCCCAAAATAAGCAGGAGTACCCATACTTATATCAGATAAAATAGAATTTAAAAGCGACAAGAAAGATACTATCTAATGAGAAAAGGGTCAAATCAGCAAAAAGAAATAATTCTAAATATATATGCAGTCAATATCAGAGAATCTAAATATACAAATTTAAAATTAATAGGTCTAACAGGAGAGATGGATTTCAACACAGCAACAGTAGGGAATTTTTAACACCCACTTTACTCAATGGACAGTCCAACCAGACAAAAATTCAACAGAGAAATTAAACTGCACCCTTAGGGTAAAGGGAACTAACAGTCATCTACAGAACATTCCACCCAACAGCCATGGGACGAACGTGCTCATCAGGACATGGAAATAGGTCATCAAACCAGTTTCAAGAGAAAAACAAAACTGTGTGTGGTGCTGAGGCTCAAACCCAGGACCTTGTGCAAGCTAAGCATTCGCTCTGCTGCCCATTTACATCTCGAGCCCACAAGTATTTTTAAAAGTATCTGTGTCTAAACACAATGCAATAAAACTGGAAATTAATAATCCAAAAACTTTTTGCAACTATACAAATACATGGAAACCAAACAACTTCCTCTATGAACAACCAAAGAACCAAGGGAGAAATCAAAAAGGAAATTAAAAATGTTTTGAAACAAATGGACACCTAACACACTAAACCCTACTTGACCCAGCAACAGCCAGACTGTGAGAAGTTTACAGCAATCAGGGCCTAAATCAAACAAGGAGACAGGCTGCAGGCAATCAGGGAACTTCAAGGAACCAAAAAGAAACAAGGATAAACCCCAAACTGGCAGGAGGAAAAAAATAATAATGATCAGAGCAGAAATAAACTGAAATGCAGACTTTTAAAAATATATAAAAGATTAGCCGGGCGTAGTGGTGCACACCTGTAATCCCAGCACTCAGGAGGCTGAGGCAGGAGGGTCACTGTGAGTTTGAGACCAGCCTGGGCTACAAAGTGAGCTCAAGGCAAACCCGAACCACAGTGAGACCATGTCTCAAAAAATCATACACACACACACACACACACACACAAATATATATATATGTATATTTTTATATATTATATATAATATGTATATAAAAAAGGTCAACAGAACCAAATGCTAATTTTTCAAAAAGACAAAACAAAATTGACAAACACCTAGCTAGACTAAGAAAAAGCAAAAACAGACTCAAAATCAGAAACATGGAAGAAGACATTACAACTGACACCATAGAAATACAAAGGGTCATTAGAGAATATTATAAATAACTGTACACCAACAAATTTGATAACCTAGAAAAAGACAAATTCCTGGACACATACGCCTTAGCAAGCTGCTGAATCCGGGGTCGCACACATTGCTAGGCAAGCACTGTATCACCGGGCCTCCCCCTGGCCCTTTATCAAGATCGAGTCAGGAAAAAATAGAAAATTCGAACAGACCATAACAATAATAAAACTGGTCATAAAAAGTTTCTCATTAAAGAAAAGCCCACATCCAGATGGCTTGCTGAGTTACGCTAAGAATTTGACTAGGAACAAATACCAATTGTTCTCTAATTATTCCAAAAAACTGAAGCAAACAATTCTTCCACACATTCCCCAAAGCCAACATTACTCTGATACCAAGACGAAACAATACAAATTAACAATAAAAACTACAGGCAAGTATGCTTGATGGACAGTAAAAATCCTGAACAGAACCCCAGCCAACTGACTCTAGCAGATTATTAAAAAGATTATTCAACATCAAGTAGGATTCATCTTGCAGATCAAAGAATGACTCACTCAACAAACACAAATCACTACAACACATACAGAATGGACAAAAAACCACAGGACTGTCTCGGCAGACACAGAAAAGGCATGGGATTTAGCTTAGCGGCATAAGCACCTGCCTTGCAAGCAGGCAGTCGTGGGTTCGATCCCTGGTACTGATAAAAAGGAAAAAGACAAAAAAAAAAAGGCACTTGCTAAAATGTAACATCCTTCATAATAAAAAATTCAGAACCAATCAGATATAAAAGGAATGTGCCTCAAGATAACAAAGACCTGCCAACAGCTGACATCATACTCAACAGGGCAAAGTTGAAAGCTTTTTCTCTAAGATCTGGAACTTTGACCAGTTTTAGTATTATGCCTGTTTTATTATCCAACATAGTACCGGAAGTCCCAGCCAGAGCACCCAGATGAGAGACAGCAATCAAGAGCATCAGACTGGAAAACGGGAAGTCAAACTTCACTGTCTGGAGGTTGCAAAGCCAACATACAAATATCAGCAGCATTACCACGGACCGATAAAAAATTACCTAAAGGTAACCTCAGAATCCTTTGATCGACTGATGAATGGATACAGAAAATGTGCCGCAGAATACTATTCAGCCGTAAAAAGGAATGGAATCCTGTCACTTCAGCTTCATAAGCTGAGAGTAGACGGGGGGGGGGGAAGAGTGTGAGGGAGAGGTTGGGGTGGTAGCGTGACCATAAGTGACTCCTGAGCACCGAGCGCTACGTACTTCAAACAGCTAGAAGAAAGCACTCGGAATTTTCACCATAGTGACAAGTGTCTGCAAACATTTGAGTCAAATATTAGAACATATCAAATCACATGGTTCCCCATTAGCATGTATAAACGTTATGCCTATGCATTCATTTAAAAAATTAATTTAAAGGAAAGAAATTCAAAATACAAAGCTGTTTATCCGTCCTAACAAATCAGTCATAGCAAGGCAGTGTTCCCTGGGTGCTGTAAGCAACGGGGCTCACGGGAGTCCGTTCTGTGGCCCTCGGGCAGAAGTGTAGGGCGCCCCCTGCTGGTGACTGGCATCTGTAGCAGGGGCTGTCTTGTGGGGCTGCACCCTGAATCTGGGGCTCCTGCTAACCCAGGTAGCTGGTTTCGGAGCCGAGGGCGACTGTAGGCCGCAGGGTGACTCTGCTGAGAATCAGGGAACCCCATGCACTGCGTTCAGCCCTAGCTTTGCCGCAGGGAAGCAGCACCCCAAGTCCTGGCCCTTCTGAGCCTGCTTCATTTATGAAACGCAGGGTATGGGACTTTAGAGATCTCGAGCATAGCAATAGAGTGCAGGCGCTGGAGCCAAAATTACAGCTCTTGTGCCTCAATTTGCTTTTCTGTAAAGTGGGAAGAAATGGCACCTTTGCTCTTGCTGGACCCACAGTGAGGGCTTAGTAGGTGCTCAGCGCCGTTTCTGTTTCTCTTTACACCCTTGAGATAAAGGCTCTGGGGACTCTTTCCAGGGACACGAGAAGAGAGACCTGCTCACCAGAGGCTCGGGAACCTCCGAAGGGCTGCTGGCCCACCACGGAGCCGGTGGACTTGTCGTTGATGAAGAAGTTGCCGGCAGCGTTCCTCAGCATCTTTGTGGCTTCCTGGACAACGTCCCTATGAGAGGGGACACCAGTAAGAGGGCACCCAGCCCATTCGCCCCTTCTGCCCTGGGTCCAACCTCCGACACCCTGCTCAGCCCACACTGGCTTTCCAGGTTGAACATCCAGCCACGTGTGGGGTAAAGACAGCAGCCAGCTGCTGACCCCAGTGGGCTCTGGGCAGGTTACTCGGTCCCTGGCCTCTATTTCCTCTCTGGGGAGAGGGCTGGCATGGTCTCCATCACATGGCCACTATGAGGTCGGAATGTGAGGACGGGGTCAGGCTCCTCGCTTCTGCTCTGCAGCATGGATGGGCTCCACCGGCTGGGGGGCCAGGGGAGCTGCTTAAAAGTTCCCTAAGCCAGGCCCTCAGAGGTTTAGCCTCAGGGATCCCCAGGGGTCCCCGGGTCTGTGTTTCTACCAAAGAGTCCAGGGCTATGTGCTCCTCGCTGGTCCACCTGCCTGGCTATCAGGGGGGCCAAGAGAATGCAAGGGGAGCATCAGTACCAGAACCATCCCAGGAGGTAAGGACAGGCTGGGACCGGACAGGGGACAGGGACAGACCACAGGAGGAATGAAGGCTCTGGGCCTGCGGCCACTCACTTATCCTGGGCGAACACTGCCCCCGTGAGGCCGTAACGGGTAGTGCTGTCGACGAGCTGCAGGGTCTCCTTGTACCTGTCGTCTGGGTAGACATACACGGTGAGCACAGGCCCGAAGATCTCCTAAGAGAAGCAATGGTCAGCATCCCCTAGTCCCCACTCCACCTGCCTCTCCCTGGCCCCGGGCCTCTGTCCACGCCTCAGTCAGGGACTGCTTCCTCCAGGGTTTCCTGGGGACAGAGGGATACATGGATTCCTAGCCTGCCCTCTCCACCTGGCAGAAGACCCTGCATGCTCTGGGGTCCTAGCTGGCCCTGGAGAGGAAAAAGGCCAGGGCCTCGGAGACGGAGGCTCCCAGCAATTCCAAAATTGCCTCCTCGTGGCCCCGCCTGCCACCAAAGGCTAGGGAAGGAGTCCGGCCCTGCATTTATGTGCTGGGCAAGCACCTCAACTTCTGAGAGCCTTGGTCTCCATCAGATGGGAGTGGGAATGCCACGTGGTCTCAGGAGATGCCAGCTGTGGCCAGCCCAGAGGGGACAGCGGCCACAGTCAGCCGCTGCAGCTGCTGGGGTGGCCACACATGGCGATGAGCAGTAGCAATGCTGGGACCCGGGCGGGGCCAGCGAGGACAAGAACAGAGCACTGTGTCTGGATGAGGAAGCGGGAGCCGAGTCCTGGCTCTGCTCCCTCCCAGTGTGAGACGCTCCCGTTAGGACCTGCTCTCTCCTCTATGACACGGAACGGGACCACAGAGAGGAAAACACCTCGCCCACTCTGCAGGTGCCGCTTGAGAGTGGCCTTGCCCGGGCCCCGCTTACCTCCTTCATGATGAGCTCCTGAGGGTCGCTGCTCTCCACGATGCAGGGCTCCACGAAGTAGCCCACAGAGTCGTCACATTTGCCCCCAGCCAGGATGGTGAGGCTGGGGGAGGAGCGGGCGTGCTCCAGCCACTTCTTAATGCGTGCAAAGGACTGTGGCAGGCGAGGAGCAAAGTGTCGGACAGGCTGGGGGTCCTAGACCAGGCCCCCGACACCAAAACCCCTCAACATCTGCACCCAAAGGGCCCACGACCTGGAACAGGGGCAGAGCATGGGGTGGGGGATGGTGAAAAGCTCTGGCTGAGCCATGGCAGAGACAAGGAGAGACCTTGCACACACATCTGCATGTGTGTGTGTGGGTGTGTGTGTGTGTGTGTCCACATGAACAGCAGAACCACAGAGGCATCTCTAAACACACACGCAGATAAACGTGCAAATCTATGTGTGTGGCTACACAGAGACCTGCAGGACCATGCTCAGCGGTGTGCACACACGTGTACGTGTGTTCCTGGATGCGTGCAAGCACAGGGGTGGGTCTGCCTTTGTGCATGTGCAAGGAGGTGTATGTGTGGCTACTGAGCTGTCTTGCTTAGAACAGCAGGGTTGAGTGGCCCCCCCGAGTTAGAGCCCCTGGAATGTCTTCCTCCTCCTCCCAGCCCAGAGCTCGGCCACCCCCAGGACGCCCTGCTTCCTGTCTTTACCTTGGCATCAATCACTGCAGAGAAGAAGGTCCCAAAGTCCTCGGTGGGCTGCAGGCAAGCAGGGGAGAGCCCGGGAGGTGAGCTGCCAGGGCCAGAGGAAGGGAGCCCCTGCCACACGCCCGTCCCCAGTGTCCTCCCATGTCCCTGTCTGCACTCAGACAGCCGAGCCCCAATCCCATCAGCCACCCGCTGGGCCACTCACATCGCCTACTTTGATCCTGCTGTGCTCCTCCAGCAGCCGCCCTTTGATCTGCGGCCACAGCGAGCTGGGCACATACAGGCGGGAGCAGGCGGAGCACTTCTGGCCCCCGTACTCGAAGGCCGAGCGCAGCGTCCCGCTCACCACGCTGTCCACGTCGGCCGAGCGATGCACGAAGTGGAAGTTCTTTCCGCCGCACTCTGAGGGGAAGGAAGGGAACGGATGGGGGCTCCCCTGGCTGCTCGGCAGCCTGTGGCACCATGGGCCTGCTGCCAGCTTCACAGATCACAGGTGAGGACGCCGAAGCCCAGGAAGGGTGCCGGGCACCAGTGACAGCTCACCACACGCCTCTGCTTGGTTTCTTTGCTCAGGGAAACACCAGCTCACAGCACCCGCCGCCTGCCCGACTCCCTAAGAAGCACATTAAGCCACAGCCCCCTGGAGCCTCACAGCTGTCTCTGCCACCACCCCATTACAAAGACAAGAAAACTGAGGCTGAAAGAGAAGTTGCATGCTCCAGGCCGGTGTAACCTCCTCCTGGGAGGCCGGGGAAAGAGTCCCTTGCTCAAGGGGCTCCCGGTTCGCCTGAGTCTCAAAACTCAGGCAGTGCCAGGCGTGGCCGGAAGTTTTAGAAGCTGCGGCTGACCCTGTGCCCCCTCTCCCTCCAAATGCTCTGTGAGCTACGAGCCCCAGCTCTGCTGCTGCTGTGCCTTTGTGTGACCCCAGCAGCCCTTCCCGCTAGGTCTCAGCACTCCCCCAAAGTGTGGTCCCCACATGGCTTGTGGACAGCTAACCAGTCAAAGAAACCAACCTTGGATCTCGGTCACAAGCGGCTAGGGTAATGGAGAGGCAGATGCAGGACGCTCTGTCACTGCAGAAAGTGCTACCAGGCGGGACCGCTCACCCCTCCCGGCTGGAGGTACCATCACCCAGCTCCTCCTCTTGTCCCTGAACCCGGAGGATGAGGGGCTGGGGGCTCTTACCTCCGGCCAGCCGCGGGAAGGTGCGATACCGGTCCAGGTTCTGTGCCACCTGCTTCCATAGGTGTTTGAAGGTGCTGGAAGCAGATCACAAGGTGGAGTCAGGACCTGGGTTCGGGCAGGGGGAAAGGGGCTGAGAAGGTGGGTGAGGGGCGGGGTCTGCCGCCCGGCAGGGGTGTACACCAGTCCCAGGGTTGGAGGGGGACTGGTTGGCTGAGGGTATGTGGGCAGCAAGATGGCACCAAGGCCCAGGCCTTGAAACCCAAAGGTTCTGGGTTCCGTCCTGACTTGGACAGAACTGACTGTGTGATCTCAGGCTCATTCCTTAACCCCTCTGAGCCTCAAATTCTGCACTTCACCTAGGACCGGGGAACAAGCCCCCCCGAGGCAGGGCTGTGCTGTGATTGGCTCCAACATGAGTCCAGAGCCGAGGCCTGTCTGTGCAGGGCACACTCGGGGTGCCTGAGGGGGAAAACAATGCCAAGCAGAAGGACCACCCTGGCCCACTACCCTGCACCCCAGCCAAAAGGCCAAACTGAGGAGCTTCCGGGGGAGCGTGCTCAGGCCCCTGCCCCAAGCCGCTGCTCCTGGCAGGCTCCCACTGTGACCAACTCAGCACCACAAAACAATAAAAATGCTAATCACCCAGGAGCCCGTGACACAGCAGCTAATACTAATTTATGACTTTCCTACCTTTAAGTCACCGCTCAGCAGAGCGTGGAAGCGGGGACCAGGCCCGCTCCGCCCTGATAGGCAGGGACCAGCCGGGGCTGGAAAATGGTTCTCCTCAGCAATTCTCAGTCACCACCACCACCAGCAGCAACCCGAGGGGCGGCAGGGGGGCGGGGGGCCCCCGAGGCCCACAAAGTGCAGAGCAGCCACTGCAGGTCCTGCAGAGGTCCCAGCGGAACCAGAAGGCCCCCAAGCTGCACCCCTGGACACCTGCAGCCACAAGACTCATCTTCCTCCAGGTGCCCACCTGGCTGAGTGATGCCCCTTCCACCCTGCCTGGGCACTCTGTCATCTTCACCTGTCCCTCTCGAGACCCTGGCTTGTGGACCAGCGCTGGCCTCGCACCTCCCTGCCACGCTCCTGCCAGCTCTGCCCCCTCCATCCCTGCTGTCCCCACCCTGGATCAGGGCCACTGTCCCTCGATGGGTGCCCACAGCCTCCTGCTTCTCGCTCCAGAGGCTCCTCCTCCACAGAACACCCCAGCGAGTGACCATTGAGGACAAATGTGCCAAGGTGGGGGCCTGCAGGTGTCAGGCAGGGAAAGCCATTAGCAGTGATGTCACAGGGGCCCAGGGCCATGTAAGGACAGAGGAATCGGAGGGGACCACCTGTTATCAGCCCATGCAGGCCTGGGAGGACTGGAGCATCTGGGCTTTCAGAAAAGCCAATGTTGGGATTTTTATACAAAATTATCAGGCTGGGGATTTAGCTCAGTGGCATAAGCCCCTGCAAACGAGAGGTCATGAGTTCAATCCCCGGTACCAAGAAAGAAAATTTGTTCCAGTGACACAAGGTTGGTCCATCACTACTGAGACCCAAAGAAATTAGACAGAGCCACTCACCAGGGCAGGGACCAGGACAGGGACCAGGAATGCCATGGAGGCCATGCGTGCGCTTAGGCTTCCCTCTCCTGGAATACTCTCCCCACCCCCTACCTGGTGAACGTAGACACAGACCCTGAGACACTGCCTCCTCCTGTCCTCCACTTCCAGATCCCCCAGTGACAGTGAAATCAAGACACCCCCAAAACCAGAGGCTGCACTTCTAGCCAGCACAGCTCTCTTTGTTTGATCTTTGCAAATACCAGGCAAGGAGAGAGCACCACACAGTGAGAGGTGGGCATGGCCAGCATGTGGCTTCTGGGTTTATCCTGGCCCCTGGGCAAGTGGCAGGAGGTGGGACGGCTGCCTGGTGAACATCCCCTCCACAGCCACCATGCCCTCCACCCAAGGGACTCACGGGACGCTGCCTGTGAAGTTGATGCCGCAGAGGTGCTCTGAGCTGGTGACTGTGTCCCCAAATAAGGGCCCGTCAGCTGGTACAAACTGGATGATGTTGGGGGGCAGGCCCGCCTCCCGGAGGATGTGGTAGATAGCATAGCTGGCCAGCATGGCAGTGTCACTGGGCTTCCACAAGACCACGTTGCCCTGGAAACGCGACCATGATTCACACAGTTGGAAGGCCACTGGCTCTGACCCCCAGCTCCCAACAGCATGGTCATCCCTCACCTGGCCAGGGTGTCCCCCACCAAGCCCTGCTCGCCAAGGGTCTGCACAATGCTCTGGAAGCCCCAGTGGCCGCTTGGCCAGGGCTACCTTGCTCCACAGCCTGCATCCACTCATCCCGTCTTTGCCCACTGGCATGTCTGTTCTCTGCAGTTCTAGGTGCCGCCTGGGTGTGGCTGCCCAAAGATTCTTTGTGTGTGCAGTGTCAGGCAAGTGCACCATTGGCACCTGAGTGTGCACCCTGCAGGTACAAATGCCAGGGACATCCTACATGCACACACAGCAGCACACACATGGGCTTCAGCATCCGCTGCCCGCCTGGCAGCCAGACCTCCCGAGCATGTCACCCCGCGATGCCCAGGCTGTCTGTGGGGATTTCCAATGGGGACAGCCATTGAGAGAATTAAAGGAACTCAGCTACACACAAGGCCCACTGGTGGCAGCAGGCCATCCAGGGCGAGTGCCCTGGGCCAGAACTAACTGGACTCTGCCAACCTGGTAACATGGACTCCCTGCTGTTCCCACTTTGCAGATAATGACACTGAGTCCTCGAGAACTCTGCCCAAGGTCATGCAGCAAGGAACAAAGCTGAGATTCAAACCAAACACCAGACCCCAAAAGCTATCCACGCCCCAAGCCTCCATGATCAGCCCTGCCAGCCTCTGCCAGGACCAGGCGCATGACAAGCTGCGGGCGGGCTGTCTTGCTGTCCTTACCATCAAGGCCGGAACCCCTGACAGGTTGCCGCCGATCGCAGTGAAGTTGAAAGGTGAGATGGCCGCCACGAAGCCCTGGGGAAGGTGGAGGTGGTGAGGCCAGGCCCAGGCCCCCAGCTGCCCCCATCGGACCCCTCCCTCTGCCCACAGTACCTCCAGCCCCCGGTACACCACACGGTTGGTGCTGGGTGGCAAGCTGATGGGCTGCTCCCCCTCCAGCTCCACTGCAAACTGCGCATTGAATCGGAAGAAGTCGATGAGCTCAGCCGCGGCATCTATCTCTGCTTGAATCACCGTCTTGCCCTGCAACACAGGGTTGGGCTCAGCAGCAAAGGAAGAGCCTCCTGGTACGCTGGCATCTTCTGCACGGTGAGCACAGAGCCAGGCCACAATGGGCACAAATCTTCAGAGGGCTGAGCCTGAGCAAAGCACTAGCTGGATGGCCAGGACAGGGACATCGTGTGCAGGGTCTAGATGGCTGCTTCCCTGCAACGTGGATGCAGCACCAAGCCTGGTGACTGTGATATCCCTGGAACTGTTCCTTCTTTTTATTCCTCTTTTTTAAACTTTTTTTTTCTTCTTTAAATTTTGAGACGCGGTCTTGTTAAGTTGCCCAGATGGCACTCAAGCCTGACCCTCCCGAGAGGGTGCGGAACTGTCATCCCACCTGTGTGCAGCAGAGGGCGCTCCCGCCTCGGGAACAGGGAATCAGGCGGGAGCAAACCAGCAGCCTGGGCTGGCGTCTATATTCGACCCTTCAGGACCCACGTGGGTGGCACCCGAGGTTCTGTTTCTGGAGACGATGAACTCGACCCTTTCCCCCTTGGCTCCTTTCCGGGTGCACTGTGTGAGCAGCACCACTCCCGCTGGATGTACATTCACTCACGAAGCATTTCTCATGGGTTTCGGAGTCTCCTTGAGACATCGGAAGCAGCAGAGGCATGCACACACACGCGCACACACACACACGCACGCACACGCACGCACGCACACACACACGCACGCACAAAATTCCCTCTGGAACGCTGAGGGATCCAGTATCAAAAAACCAAAAAATCAAAAACATTGTCTAGGATATAGCTCGCAGCATAAGCACCTGCCTGGCAAGTGCAAGGTCCTGGATTCGATCCCCGGTACCAAAAAAAAAAAAATAAGAACTCAGCACACCCTGGTGCAACAAGCTTGTGACACGGAACAGCAAACTCCGAGGAACACAACAAAAGGAACTCTTGAGGCCCAGGAAGGTTCTGGGAGCCTGAGGAGGATGAAACAGAAGCCTGGAGCAGACGGTTAGGAGCTCACTCCAGGGATGGGACACTGGGCGGTGGCAGAGAGGACCCACAGTGTCCAGGGAGTTTCTTTAGTGACACTGTGGGCAGGGGAGCCTGGCAGGGGCACAGAGCAGCTGGCAGTGGGCAGAGGTTGGGCAGGAGGCCCGGGTGGGTCAGGCTGAGAGTGTGGAACTTACCACTTGGGGACAGTAAGACCCAGGGGACCTGAAAGCCAGGTACAGCCTACCCTGAGGGTTCTGGGGGCTGATGGAGCCAGAATCACCGAGACTGCCTAAGGTCACTGCCGTCCAGGACAGGTGGCCCAGGGCAGGAACAGAGGAGGTGAAGAGGACAGGACAGGACTATGGCTTAGCCAGTCTGTCTGACCACTTCTGTCCCTCTGTGCTGGCTCGGGGCCTTGTCCCTGCACACATCCCTGGGTTTCCTATAGGATCCGATGGCCAGGGGCCACCCAGCGGTATCTGCTGACAGAAGTACAGGATGCCACTCACCTGCCCCACCATGGTCTTGGCGAGGACCTCGGCCCTGCGCGGCCCGCTCAGCAAGTCTGCTGCCTTGAGGAAGATCTGGGCTCGGTCTGCGACAGGCTTCAGGTCCCATTCTTTCCTGGCAGCCAAGGCAGCCTCAATGGCCTTATTGAGCAGGGCCTGATGGCAAAGGAGGTGGTCAGGCCAGCCTCCTACAACAGAATGCTCAGGGGAGGAAACGGGGGGTGGAAAGCAGGAAAGCCACTCTGCACAGGAGGGCCCTGGTCCCCAGCCCTCAGCCCCTGGTCCCTGTCCTACGGCTGGTTGGGCAGCTCATAGCTCAGAGCACATCCAGGGGTCACTCTGAGGCCACGTGGCTGCCAGGCTGGCCAGCAGGTGCTGCTCCAGTCTCTCACAGTCAAATCAAGGCCCCAGCTTATTCCCGGGGCCCGTGGACCCTGAACACACTGCCCAGAGGCTCCAGCCACAAGGTGTGAGCCATAGCCCGAGTCTCACACTTGCTGCTGGGACCAACTGCCCTCACGGCCACACAGCACGGCCCCAGGCCCTGTCTCAGGCCGCTCCACCCCCTGCCTCCCACTGACAACCCTCTGCAGTCCACCTCCTCCCTACACCAAGGTCTGCCCACTGCCGTGGGCATCGTGTACAGCCCAGCCCCAGCCAAGCAACACTCATCTGGCTGGAGTTTGCCTTGGCATGCCTGGCCCTGTCAAACTGCCCGGAGAATCTACCTGAGGGCCAGAGAGGACTCACCTTGTCTGCATAACAGAACTTGGCGACCTTGTGTCCGTGATTAAAGGGCTGGAAAGAGAACAGAGTGGTCTCACTGCCAGGAGGGAGGTGCCCGGATAGGTGGGGACAGGCTACGCTCAAAGCTCCTGCCCAGGGAGATCCTGGCTTCTCTCACTTCCCTCACGTCCCCAAAGCCTTCTTTTGGGCTCCCGCCAGGCTGGCTCCTGCCTCCCAAAAGTCACTGAGCATCCTCGAGTGGTGTCTGGGTCACAGTCCAGGAGGGAGGCAGGGACCACAGGCCACAGTCTTTCAGGTACATGTGGAGTCGTTGGGCGGACACAGGTTCAAATCCCAGCTCAGAAGCCTCCTGGCCCTGAGCCTTGCATGAGCTCATGTCCCGTCTCCAAGTGTCCCTTCTGGGAAACAGGCACTGAGCTTCACACTGCATAGCATGGCAAGCAGGACTGGTACACCATGGGTGGAAATTCCCTGAGCCTGGTCCAGCACATGCTAGCCCTTGGTTCCATCCATTCAGAGCCAGACAAGAACCCCATTTGCAAAAGAGTCAACCTTTCTTCTCCCACAAATTACAGTCCCCTGAGTTTCCTGGCCACCTGTAGCAGCATGTCAGGTGGTCCCAACAGGTGGGTTCAGGGCCCAGGCTTCTTCTTGCAGCTTCCAGCACAACTTGGGATCCATCGAGGAGGGAAAGGGACAGGCCTCCACCTCGCTGCCTCGCCCATGGACGGGCCTTGGGCAGGGCGGGGCTCGCTGCCTGTGGGCTCTGCAAGTTTCATGTGTCCCCAACACTCACAGTCTGGGAGGGAAGCACAGGCTCTGCATCTCAGCCACGGGAGGGCCAGACCCAGATGCCACCGGGAGACACGGCGTCCTGCCCCCGGGGGACTCACCGACACCTGGTACTGCACGTCCGACGTCCACACCTCCTCGTCACCCACCACACATGGGATGGTTTCCGTCCGGCCCTGCAGGTCCTTCAAGGCCTGGGAAGAAGGACCAGCGTGTGAATGAACACTTCCTCCTGCCTGAAACCCTGGGTCTGCACACGGAGCAGCCCGGGCAGGACGTCAGTGAGGAGGCCAGGCTGGGCCTAGGGCCTCTGGGGGACGTGTGCGCCCCCGCCTCCCCCAGGACTTCTCTCTCCAGCCTCGGTCTCCCTGCAGAAAGCTCAGGCCTCCCTCCCAGGGGCGGTGCTGCCTGATTTCCCCAGAACTGAAAGATAAAATACTCCACCTGGAACTTACATGAACTCCCATGATTTACTGAATTCCTAACAATTAACTGGAAAATTACTTTAGCATAGAGCATGTGTGCACATGACCTCTGACCTGCCCTGGGATGTCACCCATTGCCCTCTGCTGCTGCAGGTTCAAAGCTCCCAACTGCAGCCCGCCCCAGCCCCAAGCTGCTGCCTCCCAGGGCTCAGGCAGGGCCACGGGTTCGGGGCTGTACCTCAGGGGCCATCTCCCTCCAAGCCCTGCACCCTGGGGCACCCTCACCCAGTTACCTTCTGAAGTGCTTCTCGCTCTGGGGTGCCCTGTGTGAACGCTAAGATGGGCTCGTTGGCCACCTGCCTGGACGAAGTGTGCTTCCACCGCGGCCTGGGGGCAAGGGCAGAGCAGAGGCAGGTTGGTCAGCAGTGGCCACTGCAGGCCCCCAGCACCCACCTCTGCTGGGTTTCCAGGAATGGCCCAGAGCCTGGGAGAGGGAACCAGCCTGGGGCCTAAAGACGCCAAAGTCCTATCCTGCCACTGCGTATAACTGGGCTGTTTCTAAGCTGTGACATGAGCATCACCTCCCCAGCCCACGGAGCTGTGTGGACTCGAAGTACCCCTGTGATGTGAAGCAGAGGACCCTGCACACACGGAGGGCCCCTCTTGCTTTATTTCCCACAATGCCACCTTCAACCCAAGGGACTTCTTTCTCCCTGTTGAAAAGGTGGCCGAGTCTCAGAATGGGAACCAGCTAAGCTCCCCTGGCACAAGAGCAGGGCACGCCAGGGGCACAAGGGTGCCCGACATGTGTGTGGTGAACTTGGAAGGCTGCCCTGAGCCCTGCTCTGGAGACAGGGAGGGCTGCTGTGGGGACTCGGCGCCTGGCTCTGGTAGGATGGAAGAATTAAAAATCAGGCAGAAAGGAAACCTGGAAAACCAAACTGCAGCTCATTTAAAAATGAAAACAGGGTTGAGATATAAGCCCAATTCTTTTGTTTGTTTTGTTTTTGTTTCTTGTTTTGCAATAGGGTCTTACGTAGTTCGGGCTGGCCTTGAAACCTCCTCCTGTGTCAGCCTCGCTGCTGCTGGGATTACAGGTGTGTGCCCCAAGCTCGGCCCTGTTTTTGGCTTTGAGACAGGGTCTTGCTATGTAATCTGGGGTACCCTTGAACTCACTATGTAGAACTGGGGTGACGGAGGCAGGAGAATCACTGTGAGTTTGGGACCAGCGTAGGTTACACAGTGAGGGTTTTGGGGGGTGGGTTTTGGTTTGTTTTTGGTTCTTGGTTTGTTTTGAGACAGGGTCTCACTATGTACCCCAGTTTGGCCTTGAACTCAGCCTCCCAGTGCTGAGATTATAGGCATGTGCCACCACACCCAGCACACAGTCAATTTTTTTTTTAATTTTTATTTCTTTTTGTTACTGGGGATTGAACTCACAACCCCACACTTGCCAGGCAGGCACTTTATACCACTGAGCTAAGTCCCCAGCCCCTTTTTTTAAGTCAATTTCTTTTTTTTTTTTTTTTTTTTAGTACCAGGGATTGAACTCACAACCTCATGCTTGGCAAGCAGGCACTTATTACGCCCTGAGCTAAACCCTGGCCCAGCACACAGTAAATTTAAAGCCTGCCTAAACTACATATCAAGGCCCTATCTCAAAAAAATAAAAAAAACCAAAAATAAAAAGGTGATGCAGACGTCCACCATGGCCCACCCTGTCACTAAAGATTACCTACTTGTCACTGGGCCATCCCTCCACCCACCCACCAGCCCAAGCCCAAGACTGTAAGTTACCAAATTCCACTGATTTCTACTGCCAAAAACACATAAACATTTCCAGTTCCAAACTGCAGTGCCCCTCTTTTCTCTAAGCACCTGCACTCCTCTCTCGAGTGCCTCCTAAAATCTCTCCCTAATAAGCCCTTCCCTGAAAAGGTTTTCCAAGACAGGAGTCAGCAAACCTACAAGCTTGAATAAAAGGACGCGTTCCAGGGAACCTGAGTTCCTAGGGATGGAATTTTAAGAATTCCTTGCTTGGGGCTGGGAATTTAGCTCAGTGGCATAAGTGCCTGCCTGGCAAACTCTAGGTTATGAGTTCGAGCCTCAGCACCAAAAAAAAAAAAAGAATCAGAATAATCCTCTTAGCAAAAAAAAAAAAAAAAAAGAATTCTTTGCTTAAATCCAACAACGTGGGGCTCTAGGGACCTCAGCCCATCTGGGAAGCGCTGGGTAGGAAGGCTCTGGGGTCAGTTGTTTGAAAGCTGAAGGCCCAGCTTTGCCACTTCCCAGCTACCGATGTCCCCCCGGGTCTCAGTTTCCCCCTCAGGGGTCAAGGAGCACAAAGCCTGCTCAGAGCTATGGGACACATAAGCGTACACAAAGCCTCCTTCCTGGCCACCAGGACACCCACGGGCCTCACCAGGGACAAGGGGACAGCAGCAGGTGTGGGTCACTTGGCATTTCTTGGTAGCTAAAAACACACAGGCCGTGGGGACCCACAGGAAACTTAGTTAGGGCACCATTAGGAAAAACCTATTAGAGGATTTGGACTTCTGCTGAGCGCTGTGGAGGAAGTCAGATGCTGTCAGAAAGCAGGGACAATTCTGATTGGGCACAGTGTCTGTCATTTAGCAAGAGAGGGGTGTCCAGTACTTTCTGGGTGGCACTGTGGCCTTGTTTGTGTATGTGCTTGGAGAAAATTATGAAGTGGATTTGTGAATCTCATTGTATCATGGTCCTGAGGCAGATTAGGGCACTGCAGACTGGCCAGAGAAGTGGCACGGCCCATTCTTTATAAAAATCTCAGGACACACGTGCAGAACAGGCCCCAAAGCCCTGCACATAGACCGCTCCTGAGAACCCAAACAGGATTTTGATAGAACAGCCCAGACCTGACGTCAGCCTGTGCAGGGGAGACACAGGTGGACAGAGAGTCTCGAGAGTGAGGTTGGTATCTGTGAGCTTATGCCCAACAGGAAGACCAAGTAGCCCAGCTGAGAGAGTCAAGGTCCACTTCTTTCTTTCCTGGAAGGAGTCTGGGTCTCAAAGGTCCAGCCTGAGCAAGGGCACAGGACAGGACCACACAAGCAGGCCCCACATTCACTCTGCAAGGTCCATGCAGCACGTGCAGTGTCTCTGGTTACAGTTCAGATCCCAGAGCCATGCGGTGACCACGACAACCTCAGCCTTGGGGAAGAGGACAGGGTTAGTAAACAAACGCAGATTACACGAGGTGATTATGAGTAACCAAGGGGGACACGGGGCTGCTTCAGCCAGGGAGGACAGGAGGGCCTCTCGGAGGAGGTGACCACTGACCCCAGGAGGTTTGGAAAGCTGAGGAAGCGCAGGGGTTCAGGGTTGAGGTAAGACAGAGTCAGATAACCATGTCACCTCCACGTCAGAGGCAGGACCCTGAGTAACAGCTGTCCCAACCCGTCTCCTGGTCCCAGGTCCCAGCATGGGGGGGGGGGGGGCGCGAATGGAAACTGACACCACGCCTGCTCGGTGACCTTAGCACACCTTTACCAGCTCTGGAGCCTGTCACTCGCCTGAAGAATGGGGACAGAGCTGTGAGCCTCCGAGGTCGTGGTAGCCATGGACAGCGCTTGCCTTTCCTCCCCTCTAGTCTGCCAAGCCTGTGAAGGCAAATTCCTTCCCCAGGGGTAGCCTGGGGCTCCTCCTCTGTGGGCATAAAGCTGGCACAAGAGTCCCCCCGCAACTCAAAATGCAGGCAGCATCCGCCCTCACCCCTATCCACAGCCCCTGCCTTCCTGGTGCCAAAGACAGAAATCTGCAGAACTTCCTGCCCCTCCGCAGCAGGGGCCCCCTGTGACCTCAGGGTCACATGCCCACAAGCTTTCTTCATGCTGAAAAGCCTCCAGGCCGGGTCCAGTGTTCCTTGTGCTCCCAGCATGGCCTGGGAAATTCAGACTAGTTTCAAAGTTCAGCTGGAGTCAAGGCAGCCAGAAATAAGAAACAACCAAGAATCTGGGCAAACTCTTTGCTGGTGGTGGCCATTCTGAGCACCCTTCCGTGAAAGGGACAGGAAGTTACAAGACTTGGGCCTCTACCTAGGGAGACCCTGCAGACCATTCATTCCATCATTCGTTCATGCAGTGACCACACATTTACCCAGGTGGCCATCCGGCAGAGATCACAGGGTCACTCGTTACCGTCCACCGAGTCCTTATCACCCATTTCCTGAGCACCCATGTGGTGCTGGGCTCCAGAATGCATGCATCTCTCAGTTCTGCATGAAGACGCATAAGGAAAGGGGGGGGGTGAAATCTGACTCAGTTTCCCTGACAATCTAGGGTGCCACCTTCTGTTTCTCCAGAGGACCCCACTGCCAGAGCCTAAGAGCTTGACCTATCCCCACTCCTTGCAGGTACAAAGGTCGAAGCTGGAAAGGGTACACAGTTTTCTCCTGCCTAAGAGCAGTAAGTTGGCCCAGGCAAGCTCAGAAAGCCACCTCAGAGAGGAAAGGGCTGCAGGAGGCCCTGGGCTCCCAGGCATCGTCAGCCTCCACCCTGTCCAAGGCACCCAATCAAAGTCACCATCAGCTTCCTCCTAGGCTAAAGCAATGTCCACTCCTGCCCCGCCATCTCCAAACCACTCTAAACCATGACCAAAGCTATACAGCGGGCCTCGCTTAAGATAAGGCAATGTTCTCCTGCAAACATCAAAGTGCACTACATAAATCTGGATGGTACAGGCCAGCTGCTCACTGTGGCCTCTTGGGAGCAAGCAGTGCTGGACATGACGGACGTGTGAGCGGCTCCCTGGGTAGCGGGGTACTGCTTTACAGTCACCTTGGTTCTGTAAGTAGAATACGCTAAAATAACAGAAGCACACAGGATGATAAAAACGTAGCTCGGTAACAGAACGGCTCTGCACCATCAGCTAGAACAGTGTACCGACATGCCCGCATATGCTGGGCTGCTTACTATGGCAGCACAAGCAGCACCATAAATATCCGGCAACTAGGACCTCGGCTATGACACTCCTGGGCAACAGGGACTTTCCAGCTCCACTGTAATCTTATTAGGCCCCCACTGCACACGTAATATATTGTTGACTAAATATCATTGTAATGACGAATTTTCTATATCTGTTTCTGTATCTATTGTGTTCAGTGCTGGAGACTGAATCAAGGGCCTTTGCACTGAGGTACATTCTCAACCCTTTTTTGATATAGGGTCTTGCTAACCTGCTAACTTGGTCTTGACCTTGCAATCTGCCTGCCTCGGCCTCCCAGAGTGCTGGGATTATAAGTATGTGCATCACACCCGGTTTGGTGATTGTATTTTAACATGAAAATTTGATACTAGGAGAGAAGAGGAAAGAACAATCATGCAAACAGGAACACAGTCCCAAAGTACCTGGCTTCTTGTCCTTCTTTTGAGGCCCCCAAGACCCCTTCCCATGGCCCTGCCCTGCTTGCTGAGGTCCAGCCCTGGCGTCTTGTCTGCAGGCCTCCCTGCCTGGCCACACACAGGAGCTCCTCTAGGTCATCTCCATGTCCTGAACTTCCTTGAAGCACCATGGACAGCCCTCATTACAGACCTTGAGCTGACCATCTGTGGCCATGCCAAGAGCCCCATGCAGTGACCCCATGTGTCTCTGTCATCCTCAATGGACACTCTGAACCTAGCACACTGTTCTACTCACAGTAAGCATCCAAGTAAAATCTTCAAAAGCAACGAATGCCCAGGTAGCATTGGAAGGACACCAGGTCCCCAGGAGTGGACTCCCAGGCCAGGGTTCTCCTGCTAACAGCTGGAGCCTGATGCAGGTTTCCCAGTGACCAAAAAGAGAAATACTACAGAAAAAACTAGCTTTGCTTCATTCAGTCTCCCAGGAGCGGTTATCTGAGGTCTGATAAGGCAAATCCTCCTTATCACTGTGATTAGGGCAGCAGAGAGGCCCAGGAAGATACAACACAGGGCCCAGGGCAGGGCTGAGGGGGTGGAGCCAGGAGGATGACTTGAAGCCCAGAACTAGGTGAAAACAGCACGGCACGGCTCCTTGTGCTTGGTGAGACGCAAGAATCATCTCAGTAAATGTACCCTATAAATGTCCAAGAAGGTTCTACTATGACCTATGCTATGGAAGAGTAAACTAGGGTTCAGAGATTATGAACATGGCTAGCAGCCACAGCTCAAGACACAGCAGAATTACACCTGGATTATCTGAGACCTGTGGTTAGCCAGGGCTGACAGGAATGTCAATCCCCCTCACCATACAGCTACACCCCCTGACTTCCTCCTAGGGAAAGAGGTTGCCATGAGATGAGCATTGACTTACTAAGACTGTCCACTGGCACAGCAGCTCAGCCCAAAAGTCATTCCATTCCATTCTAGCATATCTACCAAAAAAGCAAGATTCCCAGCAAAGGCAGCTGTCTCCCCGTGCACACCTGCAATGTTAGCTAGAATAAAGGGGTGGGGCTGAGGACCTCTAACCCCACAACTCTTGCCCTGTACCATCCTGGGTCAGGGCTGATAAAGAAGAGATGGATGATCATCAGAATCACAGCTGCACTCAGTGATGTTTCTGGGTGATGGGCACCCTTCATGTGCTTTACATGCGTGAAATCATTCAATCCTTTTATGGCTTGTGTTTGGATGCCCCCGCCCTCAAGCCTCCCTCATGCAGTCATGGAGGCAGCTGAGTTTAGCATTTGACAGGCTCATTGTCTAGTGCTGGAATTGGCAGTGTGAAAGCTGTACCCACCCAGAAGCAGGTATCTGGCATACAATGTGAGAGAGGGAAGGAGGCGTGCTGTCTGCTTTTTTGCTCTTGCCCCTTGTGGTTACCATGAATGGCTGCCCCTCAGCCACACCACCCTGCCTTGGAGCCAGGTGAGTATAGACTGAAACCTCCACAAACTGTGAGCTAAATAAACCTTTCCTTCCTTCATTTGGGGCATCAGGTATTTTGTCTGTGCAATGAATAAAAAAGTAACCAAGACAGATCCCAACAACCTGAGAGGTGGCTCTTGTTTCCTCTAGGGCAAGTATAGCACTCACACAATTGCCTTCCTCCCTCTTTTTTTTTTTTTTTTAAAGAGAATAAAACCAAACAAAAAAATGAAACAAAGCAAAACAATGGGAACCATATTGGATTTCAAAACCAAGACAGTAGGAAATCAACAACAGTTACTATATTGCTCAGGCTACCAGCTATAGATATGCAAAGTTAATCAAACAATATAAGCACTAAGTTGTTTCTTTACTTCAGGCGCCATCATTTCAGAAATTTATGGTGTGTGATTTCTAATTTCTTTTGTGTGTATGCCTCCTGGACGTGTTCTGGGTGGGCGGGAGGTCTGGGATTAAACCTTGCTCAGGCTCAGGATCTTACAACATGAGGACCTTGGCCCCCTGCTGACTTTCTTAGTCAAACTTCTAAACTCAAGTTGACACAATGTATCAACTATTACACCTGCCAAATAAACAAGTGATCAAACATTAAAGCTACCCCAGAACTGGGGCTCTCAACTAGAACCACTTTGCCCCCATGTGACAAGGAGCAATTGTCTGGAAGAGTTTTTTCATTGTCATGACTGGGGGTGCTGCTAGAATCCATTGGGCAGAGGCCAGGGGTGCTGCCTAACATCCTACAGTGCACAGAGCAGCCCCTACAACAAAGCTTTATCTGGCCCCAAATATTTGATGATGCCAAAGTTGAGAAACCCAGTCTAGGAATCCAGACAGAAATAACCTACACCTGGAAAGCTGATACACACAGGAAGCCTCATAATTAGGACCATGAATCTGGAGTGAGATCAACTGCAATTTTAGTCCTACGCCTGCCTGAACTTGAAGATAGCACCTCATCCAGAAAATGGGGACAATACAGTACAGGCCAGTAGTGCTGGGTTCGTGGCATGTGATTACCTGGTATATACTGTTATTATGGAATTTCCCTTTGGAGCATGGATTGCTTTCTACCTGTTATTAGAGGAGTTTTATACCATTGTTCTTGCTACATCTTTTTTTTTTTCTTTCTTTTCTTTTTAGATAGGGTCTTGCTATGCAGTTCTGGGTGGCCTTGAACTCACTATGTAGCCAATGCTTGGCCTCTCAAATGTAGGGACCACAGGTGTGTGCCACCACACCCAGCTTCCCTCACAAGTGACTTGTGTCTGAATGAGGGCCCATCTTGAGTCCTGGGATTACAGGTGTGGACCAGCACACTCGGCTTTTCTTGCCATTTTCTGAAACAGTTCTGAAGGAAGATTAATTGCAATGGATCAGCCGGGCATGGTGGCACACACCTGTAATCTCAGCACTCCGGACGCTGAGGCAAGAGGATCACTGCAAGATCAAGACCAGCCTGGGCTCCAAAGTGAGCTCAAGGCCAACCTGAACTGCATAGTGAGACCCTGTCTTAAAAATGACCAAAAAAAAAAAAAAAAAAAAAAAAAAGCAATGTATCTCTTACTGTAATGTTTTTTGTAATGAATTTTTAAATTTAAACTTTCACCATATACTTTGATCATGCCTCATAGAACTGACATTCACCCATGCCAACCCATGGGGGCAGGGAGAAGGGTACTGATTAACTCAGCAAAGGAGCTGAGAGGACACAGCTGTAGGCACCAGACAAACAAAATCAAACTGGGGGCAAGAAGGTGCTGTCCAGCTCTAAAAGGGTGGTAGTCTAGATGCATAGCGCCACCAATGTGGGAGCCCCTCTGGTCAGTCGCAGTCCTATGTTCCTCCCAGCACTTAGTGCTGCGCAGATCATTTGCATGGAGGGCCCCGGGGTCCCGGAACCCCAACTCCACTCTGCTTAAATTGGTAAATCTGGACACCCGCACTTCCTGTTTCTTCATTATTTGGAATAATAACATCTCGCTTCACAGGAATGAGAAGTGCAAATAAAAAAGGATACTGAATGTAGTGCCAATAATAATAATCAGGCACTGCCTGAGGGGCAGGCACCGTTCAAGGCACGTTACGCGTATTAACTCATTTAATCTTTGCAGTAAGACACAAGCCAAGTGTCGACACGGGGTTTGGCACGTGAAATGCATTGTATAAATATGACCCTTCCACCGACCAGAAGAAAGGAACCCTTCTCGTCTACCTAACATTTAAATGGAAAAATGGGGCAGAGGGGGAGGCGGGTGGGAAGCCATGTAGGAGGAGGAGGAGCAGGAATCTCAAGAGGGGGTCCAGTAGAAGAGACCCACAAAAAAGCCAGAGGCGTGGTGTGCTAAATGTAGACATGCTCCTCCCGCGAAACCAGCAAATTTCAAATACTGTACTCAGCACTAGGGAGGAAGACTAGTGAAGCAAGCCACTTTCTGGCGCAAGACATGGCCCAGAGGACCCCACCCGACCGCGGGAAGAGGATCCCCCTAAGATAAAGAAAATGGCATCTGAAGGCTTCAGGCAGGGGACTGAGGGATCTCCGTGAGAGGGAGCCCTGGTGGAGGTGGGAGGCAAGCGACTTCGGGCAGAGGGAAACTCCTGGGAACCCCGCCGCGGACTATCAGCCGCAGGTGGAGTTTCGGCGTGGGGAGCCGCCCAGCGACTCTTAGGACCCTGGGCAGCAGGCATCGCACCCGGATCGGCCTGGATAAGGGGCTCACTTACCCGGCCCCGCTCCAGGGGCGGACTAGGAGGACGCGGCGGAGCACACGCGGCTGCAGCAGCATCTCGGACCCTGTCCTGCCAAATTGTGGTTAGCTAGAGAGAACGCCGGCCAAAACTGGAACGCCCGACCTCCATCGGAACGTACCACCTCTGGGGGGGGAGATGTCGTGTAGCCCCAGCCGGACTTCTAGCTCCTCTTTATGGATCTACATCTCTTAAGTTATTACTTCTCTATGTGTTAGTTATAAAGAGACCGTTATGTAATCGCAAACAAGAAGTCCTCAAGAAAAGTTATGAAATATACACATATATTTTCTCCTCCTTTCTTTATGGTATGACCCAGGGAGAGTGGGCGTGAGCCCCACCGACCAATCAGAGAGGCATAGGGAAGCCCCTGGACCAATCAGCGGGCAGTTCTGTTGCCCGCTAGCCTCCCGAGCCTAAGAGAGTGCAGATAAAGAGTCTCTGTGGTGCTGAGCTGCGAGTTCGCTGATCCCGCCAGCAGATTGACACTAGTGGTGCGGTGGAGTCCCTGGGTCTTTTTTCCCCGCTGTCCTTTGCTTATGGGAGGCTGGGAACCTGCTAGCTGTCAGATTTCTCGACACCCCACTACCACCAGGGCCACATCGCAGCCAGCGCCCTGTGATGCGCCTGCCTCCAGCTTCCTGGCCAGCGCCCAGCCGCCCTCTAGCCAACCCCGCCGTGGTGCAGGGCCAACCGGCCACCCAGCCCCTGCCTCCTTGCAAATTGCGATCAATACGATAAAAAATCCTAGTTGGCCTGTGCTTAGGGGTTTTTTTGTTTGTTTGTTTGTTTTCAAAGCTTCTGACCGCAAAATCAGCTGTTCTGGCGCCTCCGCAACACCCCCTGGAAAATTTCTGTTTTCTCAATGGTTGTTCAAAGAGTATTGGGACGTGCAGTGTTTGTTTATTTGAGACAGTCTCACTATGTAGTTTAGGCTGGTCTTGAACTCATATATTATCGGGGATTGTGACAAGATCCCCAGTTGCCTGTGTTAACGCTATGGCAAAAGGATAAAATAAGAAACAGAGACAAATCTAGTAATCAGGATGAGTGTCTGGGAAGTTGATGTCTCCAGATGGGTCAAGAGAGCAGCACTCCAAGACAGCCACTGTTTTTATTGGGTGTGCACAGGGATAGGTGGATGCAGCAAAAATTCACAATTGACGAAAGACTCAGAGGTCAGTGACGCAGCAGGCAAGTAGAATCCTGGTATGATGACTCAAGAGGGTGGAATTAATCCTACACTAAGAAGTATCTTGCCCTGGAGTGCTTTTCCTAAATTTAGTGTTTTAGGTTTTAGTCTTAGTGGTGGGAGAGGTTGGCTAACCCTAAAGAGGTGATGGGAAATCTCAAATGGGTGGGACCAATAATCCCAAACCTCCATTTTAGCCCTTAGGGATAGTATGCAAAACTAGCCTTTGTGAGTTTATGGTTCTCAGCACTGTATAGTCCAGGCTGGCCTCGAGCTCACTGCAATTTGGAATGTATTTAAAACTCATACGCTATGTGAGCTGAAAGAATCAACATATGCATATGTGAATATACACACACACATACCTACACAGTTAAGTTATGCTACTGATTTCTCTTAAGCTCATTGAAGAGGAAGATTTGTGCTAGTATCGTTTGGACGGTTGAATGCAGACATCTTGTGCTCTGGGGAAATGATTTGGGAATGATACAATGTATTGGGATTGGGATGTACAATGTATGTACCATTGTTGTCCCCCAATTGATGTGTTTTGAAATTGTTTTATCATTTTTTTTCTCTTGGAAATAAAATGGATTTGAAAAAAACACTCTAAAGTCTTCTATGATGATGAGATCTTAGGGGCTCATTTTGTTCCTAAATTAATGATACAGTTTTTCACTCTATTTCACAGTGTGTTTATAATTCCTCCAACAGCTTAAACCAAACACCTGCTCAGCAGTCCATTCTGATGCCAGCTCTGGAGTTATAATAGGACACCGACCAAATTATATAGCCTCTGTAGGCCTCAGTTTCCTCTTCTGTAAAGCAGGAGTAATACCTCAGAACCGGCTCCATCATCTCAGGCCACCCCTTTATCTCCATATTTCACCACTTAAACACTGGGAAATTTAAACTTCCAAAGACTGGGGAATGTAAGTGTCATATCTTAGAGATGGCAAAAGCCAACTGGAATTGATAGTGACGCTTTCTCTTCATCCTGGGAGAAGATCTTGGTCAGGTCTGGCTCATACTGGAGCAGTGTTACCCTGCATGTGACCATTAACAAGAGGACACTAGAAAACTGCGTGGTATCACACCAGGGTTCCAACAGGTGGCCTCTTAGCACCCTGAGGAGGTTTGAGATGGGGGGTCTTTGTGGTCAACAGGATTTCAATTTCAGCCATGCTACTTGGCCCTCTCTGCCCCTTCTGTGAAATGTGTGTCATAATTCCTGACTGTCTTCTTCCTGTGAGATGCAAACTAACAGGTGATAGAAAATTTCTACCACTCATCAACTAACAAGTTTTAGTGTTTTGGTGACCTTTAGTTGTCTTCCCCTCCTTCAGTCACCATTTTCACCCTCAATTTTAAAAAAAGATACACTACCAATTCTAAGACATTTCACTTTATTTAAAAGAAGCCAATATACAGGATATAAAGGGCACAATATTTACAACAGTACAGTAAACAGGTTAGTTTTCTGGTAGGATCAGTAGTCTTTCTGTGAGTACAAACCCCCCTCCCAGTGATGTTAGATCCAGCTGCAGACAAACAGCAACGGGGGGTGGGGCAGGACTGAAATTCAGGTAGATGCTAAAATGTCCACGGGGGTTAGGGGGCTGCACCTCATTTCCTGGAGAGCTTGGGAGGGACAGACAATGGTGAAGGATTCACCTTAAACAGAAAGGCCATCCCAAGACTGGAAATCTTCTACTCGTGGAAAATTCCCTCCAGAGTCTGACTTTCTCATATCCCTCAGGCACCCCCAGATTCTCACCTCTAGGATAGTGCCTTTCTAGATCCAAACTCAGTGTCCCAAGAAGAGGACTGGGAAAACCCCGGGCACTCTGGTCTGTCATCCAGGAGCACAGGACTGCAGCCCAGTTCTCCACCTGGAGCAGACACAGCCAGGAGTGGGCTCTGGGCACCTTACTGCCCCTCCCACGCCAGCTGCCTGACACCCTGGGACCCCCTAAAGCCCAGGCCCAAAGGAGATAGTGTGCTCCCCAAACCCACAGCCGGACAGCCAGCCACACTCTGCTGATTCTCAGCCCTCTCCCAACACAGCTGAGTTACAAACGGGCCTTGGCAGAGCAGAGCTGGGTGAGGAATCAGACAGAGCCTACCCACAGAGGGTACTGGGGAGAGCTTGCCCCTCCCTAGGACTCCTCCCATCCGAATTCTGAGTTTCTTGCAGCCCTCCTGTCCCCAAAAGTGTCCCCTTACAAGACCTCCAAGGAGCTGAGGGGTCACAGAAGAAGAAAATGGGTGAAGGGAGACCTATCCTCGGCTGAAGCCACACACAGGTGTGAATGATCAGAGTGCGGACGGGAAGGCAAGACAGGGTGAGGGGTACCAGGTATATTAAACCCAGCAGCAACATGCACGATATCTTGCCCACAGAAAAATGCTGACTACCACAACTGCCTACCTGAGATTTAAAAACCCTTCCCTTTCATAAAAATAGATAAGAGTCTCTTGCTTTATAAATAGATTACATTTAGCTTAAGTTACACCATAGGGGATCCCCTAACCTACCCTGCCTCTCCCTACCCCAAGCAGAAGTGGGTAGACTCTCCATAGGTCATCTGAGCTCTGCCCCAGAGCTAAGTCGGTGATGGATGGGTCCTCCAGAGCCCTCAAGACACATCGCCACGAGAAAGCAAATGGTGTTTGCTTGCCAATAATATTTATCCCTGTTCTATCTCAGAAGAGTGCGCATGTGTGCGTGTGTGCGTGCGTCTATATGTGTGTTTCACAGCCAACCAGGGAGCCCAAGGATGCTATCTTCCCTGCTGCTCCCCAGTCCTCAGTGTGTATAAAACCCCCACAACTAGGAGAGTGAGAGAGGGCAGCACGGAGAACCCATCTGAGGACAACCCTAAAATACCAATGTCAGTATGACACCGGGCTTAGAAATAGAAAAACTAAACAAAAAATTAAGTATTTACAGCTTTACAAAGGACCGACCAGTTCATCCCAACTGGGGCCTGACGCTGCCCCAGCAAGCAGTGGGGTCTTTCTTGGCAAGCTGTGGGCTCGAGGTGAGGAGACAAGCAGGCCCACTGGCGACTAACTTAAAAATGAATTTAGTGGCGTGGGAGGTAGCGAGGCCTGGACCCGAGAACCAGCCCTGGAGGCAGGCTCTCCACACCCTGCCTGTCCTCCCCTGTCCCCTGCCCCCAAGCCTCGCTCCCCAGGGGGAAGCAGCTATGCAGAGCCATCAGGAAGGGACTCCTAGGCCAGTGTCACCTGCTGTTCTCATGCTTCCTAGATAAATTCAGAGCACCTTAAAGACAAATGACCTATGTGTCCAAGGAGAAAACAAAACACCACAGGGCACCCATCGCCGTGGTAACCTCTGTTACCCCCAAATGCTAAACCCATCGCCTACTGTCTTAACCCTAAAGATATGTCTGTCACCTTCCCGCCACCTTGCGGAACCCAGAACTGGCATCCACTCTGCCCACCAAACTTCCAAACCACCCCCGATGCCTTTCTCAGCCCTGGGCAGTGAGACCACAGGGCAGACTCTTCTGCCCTTGTGGAAACGGAAAATCTTTACAGCAGCTGAGGTCCAAGCCCAGTTGGCTCTGATAACCTTTGGTTCAAATAAAAATAAGACAACAATAACAACATCAACAATAATAATCAGGTATGTTTGAACCCTGTAACCTTTAGAACAATGGTTGGTGAGGAAGAGGGAAAGGGCTGTCTCTCTTCCAAAACCACTGTCCCTTCAAGTACCTGCCAAAAGGGACAGTTTAGGTAACAAGAGATGAGGAGGATGGCCAGGCGTGGCGGTGCGCACACCTGAATTCCAGCACTCTGGGAGGCTGAGGCAGGAAGATCGCAAGTTCAAGCCCAGCCCAGACAACTTACTTAGTAAGAACGTTGTCTCAAAATAAAAAAAAAAAAATAAAAATTTAAAGGGCTAGGGATGAAGACAGAAGTCTCAAAGCCAGAGTGCACAGGGACCAGTGGGATATTCTTCCCAACAGTACAAAACAAAACAAGGGGGAAACTCATGAGGAAGGCCACGGAGTTCTGATAAATTACATCAAACGGTCACTAACATTCCCATTCTCTCTATATACACATACATTATGTACAACGGCTTTAAGGTGTGATACACAGAGCGAGGAAGAGAGAGAAGGCCCTAACAGATCAACGGCGCCCTGCGCATGGTGGTCACCGGCCACCCCTCCAGCCCAGCACCCTTGGGGCCTCGGCACTGGCAGGTACTGAGTTCTGGTCCTCAAACACATTTTGCTCTTTTGACCTCTAGAGGGAGCTCTTCAGCCAACAAAACCCCAAATGGGTAATCACCCCACTGTACTGGGCCCAAAAAGGGCGGCAAGAGGAAGAAAATGTTCTCAACACAAGACCTTTCTTAAACACAGGGGAGATAATGGCTCAGATGAACCCCCCAAGCGGTCAAAAGAATTAGAGAAAGAGGCTTGTGTGCACCCCCAGGGGAATAAAGGTGTCCTCTATCAGCTGCTATGCAAGCCATCTCCAAGCCACCAGCGGCCACCAACACCTCCCTCCCCGCCCCTTGCCAGTCTCTCTTTGCTGTCAGTACCAGCAGGTGACCGTGGGACAGAGGAGAACCACCATAGCAACGGGATGGTGCTTCCCTGTGCTCTGCCACGGACTGAGGGGAACCAGGCCTGGCCTCTTGGGACTTTCTCACAGAGAAATTACAGCTCGAAAACTCCTTAGTACTGGCCGGAGACAGAGGGGAGAACATCAAGTCATCAGGACGATAAAAGACCCCCACCCCACCCCAACCCGACAGAGGTCCCAAAGAAAGCAAGCAGTAAGGTGGGCTGGGCCCCACGACCTTGACGGGGACCCCCTCCCCAACCAGCGCTCACCCTGGGAGGCTGCAGGAGGGCGATCCCCGGAACCCCAGCCTCCCAGCCCCAGGGCAAACCAGGAGTCTGGGAGGGGCCTGCCTTCCACAAGGATATAAGGCAAGCTGCTTTTTGTTTTTGTTTTTGTTTTTGTTTTTTTGCATAGTAATTTAAACACAGTGAGGCTCCACCTAGTCCCCCACAGTGCCTTGTCCCTCCACTGCGCCACTAAATCCGAAAAAGGAAATAAAAATTGGTCTTCCCTCCCTTCTGTCCACTTTTCCCTCTTCCAGAGAGGTCCCCACCAAGGCCTGGAGGTAATCACTGGCTCCCTCCAGGGGACGGCAGATCACCCCAAGTCAGCCAGCGCCAGCGCCTGGGCCCCGCAGAAGGGAGGGCAAAGCTCATGCCAATCAGGAGCAGGTGGGAGGGTAGAAAAATCCGCTTGATGCCACACCCGGGCCCCTCCTTTGCTTTACGTATAAAAACACCTGCTAGGAATAATTCTTTGGAGCGCAAAGTGGCTCAGCTTAAGGGAGAAGGCACAGTTAACACTGCATCGTCCTGGACAGAAGTCTGCACTTGTAACGTGGAGAACAATAGAAATTGACAGCACCATTCCTTGGGTGGGTAGGTGGGCGGATGGAGGAGGGGCACTGGTCAGTGGTGGGGCGAAGTGGACGGAAAGAAGGAAGGAAGCAGCAGTCCCTCAGGGCCTCCGGAGAAGGGCAGAGGAAGTGTATGAGCGAGGACTGGCGCCCACTTTGAGGGCCCTTCCCGGCCCAGTGGAGAGAGCGGGCCAGGGCCCATCACCAAGACCACCAGGCGCGCGGGGCCTCCGTCATCAGCTGACCATGGGCTCTACGTCTGCTTCTCGCTCCAGCTCATCCTGGATCTCGTCCGTACTTCCTGAGTCGCTGCTGGCCACAGAGCTCGGTGATGGTGAATTCCTGGGGAGCACAGGGAAATGGGGGACACTCAGAGGGGCAGGAAGGCGGTGTAGCCGTGCCCGTCAGGTCCACCCTCAGAGGGGTCCCACTCTGGCTTCTTTCCTTAGCATCCTTTAATGTTTTGGAAGTCATGGCTGATCCGAGAGATGCAAACAAAGTCCTTTTACATATTGTTAAGGGACAATTCCTGACCTGTGGCCTCCCAGACCTCCCGGACCCTCTGCCCCAGCTTCTACTGGGTCTCCACGCAGAAGGCTCCTCGGGAGCCGTGGACATGGATCAAGCTTGGTTTTTACCCTGCAATCATCCAGCCCAAGTCCAGGCACATAGGGGACACTCCAAATAACTCAGAGCACAAAGGGAGGCTACCCAGGATGGAGGTTAAGCAGCACCGCGTAACTCTACCACAGGTGGCTGGGGCCTTACGCAAGCTGTCCACCTGCCTGTACTAACAGTAGGTCCTGCGGGATCTGAGAGTTAAGACGGATCAGGCTGAGCCAAGCCACCACCCTACTGCTTCTTGTATGGGAAGATGTCACAAATGGGTGGCTTGTGCCAAGCATTCTCCACTGTTATCTTACTCTATTAGCAATGTGTCTGTGCCCCAACAAGGCTATGTGTGCTGATGGCAGGACTCTGTCTTCGTGTGTCACACCTGAAACACATCAGACTCCTGGGGACAGACCCACCTGACCCTGGGTTGGAAGACAGGAAAGAGGGAAGGGAAAGCTCTTCCTATGAGAGATGGGAGCCGATTCACAAACAGAGGGGAAGTCTCCTGCCTGCCTCTGCCACTCAACGCCACACTCAGTGGGGCGTAAGCTCTATGGGAGTTAAGGGAGAAGAGGGAAAAGTGGACGGGAGGCAGGGGTTCTGGCTGTTCATTACTAGATCCCCATAGTCTAACACACGGTAGACCTCCAAAGGTATCTATTTTCCTGGGCAACAAAGGCAAGGCAGGGGGCATCACAATCCCTGACTTGAAATTATACTATAAAGCTACTGTGATAAAAACAGCATGGTACTGGCAATAAAAAAAAACCAAGTATCTGCTGGCACAACGGGAGCAGTTGTTGGGGTAACTCCAGGAGATAAGATACATAAGTCCCACAGTACCCAGCAGGTGTGCTAATATTCACCAAGTGGATGGACGGATGGACAGCTAGGCTGGAGGATGGAACGTAGCCAGGCTGTAAGGTGCAGCCCGGAAAGTATCCCTCCCCGCCCCAGGCCTCCACCACTGAATCTCAGGAGCACAGGCAAGGTACCTGTCTGCGGAGCCTTTGATGAGCCGGCGGCAGGTCTCCATCTGCACGTCCAGGCCCCGCTTCATGCTGCACATCTCCATGTACTCGTGCAGGTGCCGGTTCATGTCGCTCTTGGCCGTGGCCAGCTCCAGCTGGGAGGAGCGATCAGAAGCAATGGTGAGGACCAGCCGCCCTTCGGGCAGAACCCTCAGCACCCTCCCTCCTCAACTCCTCAGTGGCGGCATCATGGAAGCCACCTCGCCCTTGGGACCTTGGCTCTTGGACATGGACCTCCCTGGCCCTCTGCTGTCCGTGCCCTCTGGAAGCGCTCTTGGTCAAAGAGGCGTGGCTGCCTGGCCACCCAGAGGCCCCATTCTGATAAGCCCTGCCCAGTTCTGATAGCTCTCCTATGCACAGCATCTGTATGGCATTAACTCTAGTTACACAGCTGTTGGCCGCACAGCCTCCGAGGCAGAGGACTGGCTCGAAGGCTGCTGCTTCCTGGCGGTGAGGCCCGGGGCAGGTCACTTGGTCTCTTTTTATCTCGTCTCTCCTGAAGCCTTACCTCGATCTGGCCTATCGTCTCCTGGTATTCCTTGTCTCTCGTCTTGAAGAAGGATTCGGTCTCATGGATCAGGTTGCCCAGGTTTTCCTCCTGCTGGGGAGACAGCCGCCACAGGACAGATGGATGAGCTGGCTGGTGAGGGACTCAAGGGGGGACAGGGAAAAGGGGCCGCAGGGGCGGGGAGCCCGAGGCCCCAGCTCACCTCGCCCTGCAGGTCGAGGGTCGGGTTGCAGTTGGTGAAATCTTCCCAGAGCAGCAGAGTGTCTTCGTTCTCCTCCCACGTCAGGCTGTCACAGTCGTCATCAAAATCAAAGGTCTCCCGCCTATCAGGGGACAGCAGAGGACATGAGTGGACGGAAGGGGCCCATGAAGGGGATAAAAAGAGACGTCTTCCCCAGTGGAAACGCATCTATACTTCTGCCCGCAAAAGAAACGAGTGGCCATCAAAAAGGCATCTTTCTTTTTTTTTTTTTTTTGTCTTTTTCCTTTTTATCGGTACCAGGGATCGAACTCAGGACTGCCTGCTTGCAAGGCAGGCGCTTATGCCGCTGAGCTAAATCCCCAGCCCCTGCATCTTTCTTATGCAAAGAGAGTTTAACTCTTTCAAAACGCAGGGTGCATTTTGTACAGTGAAAAGCATACGTTTTGGGGCTCAGTGACAAGAGTACTTTGCTAGCAGGTGCAAGGCCCTGAGTTTAATCCCAGTACCATACATATTTAAAAGCACACATTTTTTGTTTTTTGTTGTTTTGTTTTATTTTTATGTTTTTTGAGACAAGGTTTCACTATGTAGTTCAGGCTGGGCCTGAACTCACACTGCAGCCTAGGCTGGACTTGAACTCACAGCAATCCTTCTGTCTCAGCCTCCCAACTACTAGGATTACAGGTGAGCACCACTATGCCCAGTAAAAGCACATACTTTTAAAGACGATGGGCTGTAGTTCATAGAGACTGAATACATTTTCCTTGCAAGGCCACTTGGACAGCTATTCTTGAGCCTCAATTTTTGAACCAAGTTATTTACATCATCCCCATTTTACAGTTGAGGAAATCTCAGCTCAGAAAGAATAACTCCAGGTAAAAAGCTGCCTCGAGCGCCCCCTGGAGCCAGGCCGGGAAGTGCCTGAAGTAGCCTATAGGTGGCTCCGGGAGTCCAGGGACCAGAGCTGGGCCTCGGGCGGAGGAGGGGGACTGAAGAGGGAGGCGGGGTGGGAGCCCATGGGGTCAGCAGTCCAGCAACCCAGACTCCTCTCCTGACTTCACTTCCTCGCCAGCGGCTGGGATCTGATGGAAAAGCCAGCTGCGGACAGCAGGCCAGAAAGGACCGGAAGCGGGGGAGGGGAGAGGCCGCTACTCCAGGGAGGGGCGGAGGTGGGGCTCTGGCCCAGGCCGTGCAGATTTCTCCTCCTCTACCTCCTCCTCCTCCTCTCCTTGGTCCCAAGCCCAAGCAACTGATTTGGATCAAAACAAAACAGCCTGACCCAAGTGGATCATTCAAAGACTTCCCTACAACTGTCTGGGGGCGGGCGGTCTCTGGCTTGGGTCTGGGCCACGGCCAGGGGAGATATCAGGGAGAAATCCAGGGCCCACGGGGGAGGGGGAGGGCGGCCACTGCTGCTGTGCGTGGAACTGCAGGTGGGGGTATGGGGACAGTGACCGTGTTCAGAGGATTGTCTTTAACTTAGGCTACTTTACACCAGATAAATCTAATTAGATACTGAACCCCATCCAGACCTGTCAACATCCACTTGTACAGCATGGGCTCCTGCCTGACTCCCATTTGACCCTCTTTCGACACAGCAGGAGCCTTGGCTTGGGGAGCTCCCTGTCTCTGGATGTGTCCCTTTGCAGCTCACCCCATTCCCGTCAGCTTAATCATTCCCTGGGGACTTCAAGTGACCAGCTATTTCTTCAGAGAAGCCCTTTAATTCAACCAAATGGCTGGGCATGCTGATGCATGTCTTTAATTCCAACACTCGGGGAGGCTGAGGCAGGAAGCTGGCAAAGTTGAGACCAGTCTGGGTGACTTAGTGAGATCCTATGTCTTAAAAATGAAAAGGGGGCGCTGGGGATTTAGCTCAGTGGCATAAGCACCTGCCTGGCAAGCAAGAGGTTGTGAGTTCGATCCCTGGGGGGGGGGGGATGAAAAAGGGGCTGGGGTTGAATCCCCTTTACTGCAATTAATCAGTCAATAAATAAAAGTCAGCCAAATGAGCCTGGCCTCTCTGGAGCATGCAGTTTGGCTCAGGAATGCTCAGAGCAACAGTCGGAAAACCTGGCCCAGCCAATGGTTAGGCTTCTGTTATCTGCAAAAGCAAGTGAGGTCTGAGGGGGATTTGTGTGGAAAGAAGAATCTAGGGCCTCCTTTTTGTTGTCAAGCAGCAAAGCTTCCAAATGCAGCCCCCTCTCACATCTGTGTCAAGGAAGCAGCAGGTTCAGGGCAGGATCTGGCTGAGGAATTCAGTCCCCACCCAAGTTCCAACCCCCATCTCTTCCACCTCCTTTCAAGTCATCCAGCTGAGCCAAAAAAGGGACCAGGAGAGGGACAGTGATACAGCAGGGATGGGAAAGGGCATCTCTTCCTAGCATGCAGACAGCTGGTGTAGGGGACACAGCACTGGAGCAGGAGCGGACCCCTGGCTCTGTCCCAGTCTGCATGTGACCCTCTACAAGCCGATACCCCAGCCTCGGCATGAAGGGGACTGCGTAGCGCCATGCCAGCCTCGCAGCTGGGAGTCCTAGGAGAGAGCTGAGTTCTCAGGGTCTAATGCAAGGGACTCCGATGAAAGAGGGGGCCAGAAGGCTGGGGGACAGAGAGGCAGGCCCCAGAGAGCAAGTCCCAGCCCTGCCCTTGGATGTACTCACTGTCCACACCCACACCTGCCCCCTGTCCCTCTCTAGGGCACTGCTAAAGATACATTGAGAATACAGCACTGGACACGCCAAGATCACAGTGCCACCAGGGTTCCAGGCCATGAGGTTTGGTGCACGAGTTCTCTAGGTGTGAGGAAGGGCGGACCTGCTTGGTAGCATTTGCCAACTTTCTGCGGTAGCAAGTTTCATGTTACTAATGTGACATCATGAACCTGTACACCAATGGTACCAGGACTGTCAGCTTGCAAAAGCTGGTATCAGCTGTCCTGGCCACCACTGGCCATACCAACCCCCGAGCTGGGCAGCAGCTCACAATGGGGCACTCTAGTGAGACAGGCTGGGCCTGGGTCCAGCTCTGCCATGCACCAACTGAGTGTCTTAGTCAAGTTACTTCTGCCCTTGAAGTCTCGGTTTCCTCGTCTACAAAAGGGAAGGAGAAGCCTGCCTTCGAGCTTGGGCGTCGGGCATCAGCTATGTGCCCTTTGAGCACCCTTGCTTAGGGGACACTCAGTGAGTTCAGCCCAGTCTCAGGCTTCTGAAGAGAATGAGAACATGAAATTTCCTGAATTATCACTGTTGCAAATCAACCTTAGTTCTTCCAGAACACAGTGCTGGCCCAATCAAACGCGAACGCAAGCTGCTCTCAGCCCAGCCCACCGATGTCCCCTCCTCCCCACCGTGCCCTCAGAGTGGGGTACAGGGGCAGCGGGGACACTCACAGCTGGTTAAACATGCGCTTCATCTCATCTGTGATGTTCATGGAGCCAACCTCGTCATCCGAGAACCGATTCACCTCTCCGTCCTGCTCCGAGATGTCATCGTCTGAAGCCACTTTACGCTCCTTCTTTTTGGGGACCACCTGGACCAAAAAGGAAGAGATGGAAGGATCTATGAGGCTCGGCTAGATTGGAGGGTTAGGGCAGGAAGGAAGGGAACCGGAGTCTCAGGATGTGGATGGAGCGTGGCTGGACCAGCCACCGTGGGAAAGATGCATGGGTCTTCTAGGAAGCAGGCGGCATTAGCAAGAAGCATGAGGTGGGAGACATGCGGGGTGGAGAATACCGGATGCTGGACCCTACCTTGCTCTGAGAGCCACTTTTTCCCTTCCCCAGAAAAGCAGTCCCATGATTTAGCAAAGGGGTGAGCCAGACCAGGGTGCAGAGTCACTGGAGTGTCTCAGAGCCAGCCACAGAGACGCCGTACCCCCCACAACGATCAGCACAGCTCCCGGGGCCCTCCTTTCCCATGCAATGGCACAGACATTGGCCCAAGGCCCAAGCAGACAAGACATGAGCAGATGAAGGTGGCACGGGTCCCCTGCTTTCCAGCAGAGGGGCAGCCAGAAGGCATGGAGAGAGAAAGGGCCCTCGAGAGGCCCAGACCCTGCCAGCCAGGTCCAGATCCTAACAGAAAGCAACAACACACCATCCTGCCCAGGCTCGAGCAAAAGCCATACAACCCCAAACTCCAGAAGCAGCCTTCAGAGAATGACACGGGCCCTCAGGCGTCCCCAAGCCCTCTCCCAGGACTCCATCAGTGCTAACTGACTGTTCTCTCTCAGGGGCACCTTCACTGCATGCATGTCAGGTCTGGGGGCATTAAGACTCTTCCAGAATAAAGTACAGCCGATGGCTCCTCTGTGACTTCCGAGGCCCCTCTGCCAGGGTTCAAGTCAGTTCTCCAGATAGCCTGGCAATGGGTCTCCCACCACCGGGACAGTGATCAGTCCTGATGGCCAGAGGGACAGGCAAAAAGCAAGACAGTGGACACAGCATGGGCCAAAGGATGCATCCTGGAGGGCCAGGACCCTGAGTCTTAGCCCAGTTTTGACCACTTCCATGCCTGGACACAATGTCACGCAACCCCCTGAGCCCAGGTGTCCTCAGCCATGAATGAAGCAGTCAGATTCGACAGTGGAGTCCATGGGGCCTACAAGTCCACGCGTCCCTGAGAACATTTCCCTAGGAGGCAGAAGGTCCAGTCAAAGCTACCTCTCGGGAAGGGAGTGAGCGGATGTTGGGAAAAGAGGGGCTGGCCAGGCAGCAGTGGGGGCCGGGGGACTCTGGGGGTGGGGAGGCTGGTGAGCGGGATGGCCCTAGTCACCTGGAAGATCTTGGACACGTCTTCCGAGTTCCGCTGCTGTGCGACATCGCACAGCTTGGCCGTGATATCGATTCGGCGGCAGATGTCCATGTCCACCTTCATGGCCTTTTCTTGGATCTTTGTGTCCAGGTCTGTCATGGGCTGCAGGGAGGACAGCAGGCAGGGGTTACGTGAGCGAGGGATGGAGCAAGCAGGAGGGCCTGGGTGGAGTGGGGAGATCCCTGGAGTCCAAGGGAGACTTGGCCTGTCCTGCGAGTGGACGATTGGGTCAGTGCTAGTCAGGGCGGGGTGGGTTGCGTTGGGACCTCAGAGGGACCGTGTGTGCAGATCTCCCTGCAGGCTGCAAGGAGAGAGATCCCTCTCTCAGCAAGCAACAGAGTCAGTGTTTGTTTTGTTAGAGGAAAGAAAAACAAAAGACAGCTTCCACTGTTAGATGGAGTCCCTCTTTTTCATCCGGCATGTCCCATATGGCCCCACACAGCACGCCTGCCACGGCACCTCTGTCCTGGATTCCTCCCCCAGCTGACAGCAGACGCTCATCTAGGATGAGGGGAGTCTCCTGGCCCAAGTAAGAAGTCGTGCGGCTCCACCTAGGGCCCCAGGATTCTCCGGCTCACCCAGCCTCACGTCCCAGAGCGCCAGAGGCCAGGCCACGCCATCACTCACACCCTGCCTCCTTCTCCGCACCCCTCCTCTGCGGTCTGGTCTCTCCCTCCATACCACCCGCAGCTCAAAGGCATCAAGAAATGCAGGTCCCCAACAGCAAGGAGGCCTTTGCTTCCCAACCCACGGTCACTCAGGAGCCCCAGGTGGTCCAGAGGACACACACCAGCCTTTCCTGCCTTGCATGGCAGCCTGCTGGAGGCCGAGGGAGCCTCAGGCTGGGCCAGTCCAGCCCACATCGTCAACCCCGAGCCAGGCCCCAAGGCCCGAGGCACAGTGAGCTGGAAAGGAGTCGAGCAACACACACGGGTCGTCGGAGGAGCCTGGGAGGGCGATGGGTTAAGCGGCGGATTAATGCATCTCTACTCAGACAGAGGGAAGCGGCGTGGGGAGGGCAGGAGGGCGCCTGGTCTCCCCGATGCATCTATCCGTCATCCTCAGGACAAACGCAGCCAGCCAGGACTCTAACTAGAAGCCGAGCTCGGAGCCTCGGAGTGAATAAAGCATTCTGCATGATGGGTGTGGGGGTGGAGGGAGGTCATGACACCAGGGGTGGCGGCCAGTGGCACTTACGTCACTCATGAGCCCCTTGAACACCACCAGCTCAGCCTTGAGCCGCTCTATCTTCTCGTTCATCTCCTCCTGGATGGCCTCGGCTTCCTGCGCTGCCTGCAGATGGACAGGGGCAGGCTTTAGCGGGGCTGACACCTGGCGGGGACGAGGAACTGGACACCCGGGTCCCTCGGAGCCTGGGCACTCCATGTCCCTCCAGGCTGGGTGCCTACGTGCCAGGGAAAGGTGCCAAGGACCTCATCTTCCCTGCCTGCTGCCCACTGCGCCCCACCGACCGCTCCAAACACTTCCCAGACAATCGTTTATGGCACGGAAAAATCCGTGGCAGACAGCAAGAGAAAAAGAACAGGTTAAGGTGAGGAGGGGCTCCAGTCCATTAAGCTTTGAAATTGCCAATATTCGGCACCTCTCACAAGAAAATGGCAGAGTGGCACACATCACCCAGATGCACAGGTGGGGGACCCAGATGCACGGGTGGGGGAGCCCTGGCATAGAAGAGGCTGAAGGTCACACACTCACTGACCCTCTGTGGAGAGAATTTTGATTCTGTTCTCTATGCTTTTCTGAATTTTCCAAATTAAAAAAAAACTTTTTAAAAAAGAGAGATATTCATTCTTTTCCTTGTATATATTGGTAAGTATTTCAGTCTCTCTTTCTTAGGTTATAAATGCTTTAAATATCAGAAATGGATTTTTAATTATTTTATTTTATTTATTTTTTATCCTCACATAGGCTAGGCAAGGGCGCTACATCACCCAACCTAATTCTTATAATTTTTGAAAAGAATTTTGGGGCCTTCTCATAGAATCGCTATTTCCATTCCTGTTTGACTTAGAGGAAAACAGAGGCCAAGCCGTGAAGTTTGCTGCCCACGGTCGCCACAGCGGATGAGCAGCAGAGCAGGCAAGGCAATGTGTGCCCCGTGGAGCCCGCTCAAGCCTGCCAGCTATCTCCGAGGCATCAGTCCAAACTTAAGGGACCTGCGATCTGAGGGGCAGGGGGACTTGGAACCACCTAATGCAGCCTCTGCAAGGGACACAGGCTGAAGAGAGTCTCCAGCTCCAGCTAGCCCCAGGCTTCCCAACTCCTGAGGCCGAGCTCTATGGCCAGCCAACTGCACTGGGCCACCCTTAAATACAGGAGACGCAGGAGACCTCCTGGTGTCCCAGAGGCGCAGCTGGAGCAGAGGAAGACACACAGGGCAGGGGCCATTCTGAGAACCCTTTCTGGCTTTCCTTGGCACGTGGTTCTCCCACACTTCTCCTGGCCAGGACCTCAAGGTCTCTTACCTCCTGTAGAGTGTCCACCATGGTCTGGAGGTCCATGCGCTTGGTGAGCTCCTCCTCCCATCTGCAAAAGTCAAGAAATACAGTGGTCAGAGAGTGACCTCTGCAAGCCAGTCCAGCCCTCAGTATCCACCCTCACCCTGTCCCTAGGCGCGGTGGAGAGGAGGCACGGGCAAATCCATCCCTGTGTCTACCCAGCTGGGTTGACACTGACTATAATTCCAAGTGGTGGCAAGTGCCACTTCCACGGCCTTAGCAAGGCACCATGGAGAGAAAGGTATGAAGGACCACCATAGCCTTCATACAAACTGTAAAGTGGGGTATAGATACCGCCACTCTTGCGGTACAAGATCAGTAAAACGCTGGGCCTCCCGAGGCGGCCCGCAGCTGGCTCACCCTGGGCTCTCCTTTGCACGTGCAGGAAACAACCTCATTGTGTTCAACACTGCAATCTTGGAGCCCCTTTATTTCGCAGTCCACTGAAACCAATACAGAAACCTACACAGGAACTGACACTGAGCTCGAAGACGCTAAAGGTCTTGCCCAAAGTCACAGGCATTCAAGGATGAGGCCAGAATTCATATCCAGGCCTCAACAAAATTCAACAAATACAACTCTTGATTCTTTAGCATTTATTGTATACCAGATCCAATGCTAAGGGCGTTCTGAATACAATTCCACTCATGTGTGCGCTGAGTGAGCTGAGCAGGAAAGGAGGGGGGTGCGGGCAAGCACAATTCACAGGGTACCCCAAGTACTAACTTCAGGATGGGAGGAGCAGCTCAAATACCAGTCCCCCACACCCAGTGCCCTTTGACACCCTCTTTGTCAGGGTGTCCTTCTATATCAGCTTGCTAGGTTCTCCAGCAGCCCCAGGGCCTGGGTAACGTCATCCCCCCACGTCTGGGTGAAGAGATCAAGCCTCAGAGTCACAGCTCCAAGGCAGGGGAGGGCAGGGGAGGGCAGGGGAGCAGGGACCCAGGCCCAGGGGAGGCTGCGGATGGACTGCTCGGAGTTCCTCTGTGGGCTCCCCAAACCAGCACCCTCAGAGCTTGAAGGCCCACTCTACTTCCCCACCTCTGCTCTGGGGCAGCTTCCTCTCTCCTCCCTCTGTCCCGGGACAGACAGCGGGCTTCTGTCTTTCCTCACCCCAGGCTGCCCTTCCCACATGGCTGCAAAGCAAGGCGGTCTGGAAGCCTTTTAGGATGCTTCGGGGGCCAGCTAAAAATAGGCCAGAGGGGAGGGACAGACAAAGAGTGGGTTACGTCACCAGCATTTGGAAACAAGAGAAAACGGATACTGTTTGCACACACAGAGGAAAATTCCTCCTCTCTCCCACACAAGATGGGCCTCACAGAGTTCCCAAAGGACACGTGCCCCACCCCCATTCACTCCGGTCTTTGTCAGCCCCTTGTTAGCCCACATGAGCCACCTGGTCTGTCCCCAGCTCTGGGGTCCAGAGTCAGGACCCAGAGGCCAGAGGGGCTGGGGCTCTGGCTAGCACTGGACGCTGCAGAGATGCTGGGGAGGGGCAGGGTGGGATCAGCCACGTGCCTCCTTGCTGTGCGGAGGGGAACTGAGGCTCAGAGTGTACAGGTCATTTCCCCAAGGTCACCCACAGTGTCTGGGAGCAGACTGAGGCAGAGTCTGCCCCACCACCTCCCTCGGAGGTCAGGCCCAAGGGGGTGGAGGCAGAAAGGCCAAGCAGGGAGAAGTCCCAGGCCGTTCTCACCCCAGCCCAGCAGCATGGGGCATCTGGGGCTTCCCTGGGGGAGGTGCAGGCCAGCAGGTCCCCAGCTGAATCATCTCTCCTGGCCACGCTGCTCCCTGCTCAGAGGGGAGGAAAGAGACTCGGATGCCGAGTCTGGCACTGCACTCAGTCAGGCTTCTGGGGACAGTCTCACTGCTGTGTCTCACAGCCGGGGCAGCAAAGGGTGAAGAATGACACATACTCCCTCCCTCAGACAGCTCTGAGACTGTGGCAGAGCAAAACTTCACCTCTGGGTAGAGGTCAGCAGACCCACTACACAGCTGGAAAAAATGAGGCTTGCCCAGATCTACACGAGGTGAAGTGAGCCTATCTCTTTAGACCTCTAGACAGTTAACAGCCAACATCAGTTGGCCAGCATGGCCCATGGTGCAGCTCTACACATACATCATCTGCTTTAACATGAATTATTAACCTTCTGGGGTAAAAAGACTTCCACTCAAGCCCATTTTGCAGATGTGTGAGCTGGAATTCAGGGTTTGTGAAGCAAGCTGTCTAACACCAGGCAGACAGCACACAGGGAGCTGGGATTAACACCCAGCCGGGCTGTGAAGCAGCATGTGTGAGACTTGGATATCATTAGCAATCTTGTTCCCTGCAGACCTTGACTCAGCAGGTCTAGGCGGGGCTTCGGCTCCCCAGTGGTGCTGGTCTGCATGTGACCAGGTTCCCAGGTTCTCAGAAACACAATCCAGTGCCTCTACCCCCCCCCACTCCTTTTGTTCACCTAACTCCTCCAGTTGGGTGCTTGAAGGAGGGATTTCATGGGCCTTTTATTCCCAAAGCAGGCTCACTTCTCCAGGTACAGAAGACAGACCTCACGTGCGGAGCCCACTGCCCTGAAGATGTCCCTCCCCTCCCGCAGAGGTGACAGGAAAAGCCTGCTGCAGCGGGTGACAGTGTTGACGGTGCAGAAATTGCGGGGTGAAGGGCCAGACGGGCCATGTCTTTCTTGCAGAGCCCAGACACCCAACATCTGCCGCAATTCAGCTCAGCTCGAGGGAGCACCCAGCCTCACCAAAAGCTGGCCAGTCAAATCATTGTTTCTGAGGTGTCGTCCATTTCCCCAGCACCATCCCTTCTTGCCTGGCCCTGCCCACCCAATTAAATTTTGGGCAGAAGGGTGCCCAGGGCGGAGGAAGCAGCACCTTGACTTTACAGCAGGAAGGCAAGGCCAGCCTCCCACCGAGAGGGGGCGCACTGCCAGGGGAAGCCAGTGCCCAAAAGTCAGTACTGCTAAAAGATGGTAGAGTTTGGAATCAAACTCAGGTCTGCCTGATTCTGATTCCTGAGCCTACTAACTCAAAAGGACTCCTGGGGGCATCTGGGATGTGAGCTGGAGAAAAAGGGATGCAGCCACCTTAAAGAGACCACCTTTGGAGCATGAGGTGAGTGCCCAGCAGACCACCTGACCTTCAAGTGATGCTGAGGGAAGGGAGCCGAGGGACAGTCACTGTGACCTCTGGGGGTGTTTGCCAAGTTAGGCATCTGTTCACATATAGCAAAATATCACTTAACCTTTACATATACATAAAATATCTGCCAAGGATTAAAACGGATTTTAACCCACTTTGCAGATGAGGAAAGGACTCAGCGCTCAGGTAACTCCTCCCTTTCCTCTCCCTCCTCCTCCTCTGCCTCCTGAAATCCTATCCCTTCTCCAGGCTTGTCTCAAATGTCATCTCCTCAAGTTGCAGCAGCCACTTCACTGTTTTCCTGCCCGGGACTCTAGGGGTTTGAGGTGCCTGCCTTGGGGGCCCCCAACCTGTCTTTCCAGGCAGCCTGGCCCACAGTGTCCCACGGCACACAGCTCTCACCCAAAGGAGCCGGCCCCGAGACACCCGATCACACACAGGGAGGCCCCTGCACAGGCCAGCTGGTACCCATCTCAGACTGGGGACCCTGGCTTAATGGGGCAAAGAGGTCCCCGCACCAGGCTTTGCTCAGTGGTGACAATCACCCCTCCTCATTCACTGCTAGTTCTTTGTTCCTAAAACCTTCCAGACTCTTGGTCAGAGTGATGTATTTATGGGACAGTTTTATGGAATGGAAAATGGATGGATGGATGGAAGGGCCTCTCATTCCTGGGCCCTCTCTCCCCTCAGCCCAGCCAGAGCATCTGAATCTGTACTCTCCGGGCCAGGGGCTGCCAGGAGCCAAGTTACCAGCACAGCCCGGACTTCCTCACATCTGCTGGGCTCCAGAGCCTCCCCCTGGAGACAGGCTGCGAGGCAGGAAGCAGGCAGGGAGAGCAGCCTTCCCTCTCCCCCTGCCCAGCGCTCCAGAGCAAAGGAGGGGTGGCAGGGATATCAGGACAATGCACTCGGGAAGAGGAAATGACTCCAGAGAACCACGCTTGGCTAAGACGTGGGGCCACCCCGCCACCATCTTCACAAATCGCACACGTGGGAGGCTGGTGGCCCGATGGGGAGCCAGCAGCGCCAGCCCTGGCCAGATGTGGTCGCCGCATTCCTGAGGAGCAACCGCTGGACCACGTGACTGACAAGAAATCTCAGCTGCCCAGCGGGGGAGGGGCGGCTTCCAGGTCCCCCCCCCCCAGCAGCGGGGCCAGCGGCTCCCCTCCCCCATCAGCCGCTCAACATGACACACAGACCCAGGAAAAGAGCCACAAAGGCGGCCTACGAGGGGCGGAAACGCGAGCCAAGCCCACATAGGGGCTGACTCAGAGGGTTTTCACTTCCTGTGCTGTCAAAGGAGACTCCAGCTTGAGAGGAAAGTGGGTACAGCCCTGGTAAATAATTAAGGTTTCTGAGACTTCAACCCTCCTTCCCTGCACTTTCCAGCTGTGCGTGACCTTGGACAAGCCCACTGTCCTCCCCAGGCCTCAGTTTCCCCAACTGTGAAGTGAGGTGGGAAGCATGAGGCTCCTTCTGAGAGGGGAGAGAATCCGTGAAGAAGAGGTCTGGACGGCACCCGGGCAGGAGCCAGGCGGAGCCACAGGCTTCCGCGCCTTGCAGGGCACCTTGCAGGGCGGGGAGCATCGGCACACCCAGGCCAGCTCACTCAGGTGATAAGGAACAGCTCAGGCGAGGCTGGGCCAGCGAAAACTTCAACCAGCACCGAGCACAGGCCTGGCCTCTGGCAGAGGGCAGGTGGGGGCGGAGCACCTTCCTTTCCCAAGAATGGGTCAGGTCCAGCGCCCTTGTCCTCTCTGTCCACCCTGCTCACTGCAAACACTGTCCAGCCAGTGCCCGGCAGCTCTCTGTGCCGCCTCCTACACAGACTTGTGGGGTGCTGTCGCCTCCCCACGTGGCCAGTGCCTCAGCCTGGTGCCC